ATCTCTCACTAACAAACAGTTTGACATCCTACCTACTCTGTACACCAACATCTCTCACTAAATAACAGTTTGACATCCTACCTCTCTCACTAACAGACAGTCTGACATCCTACCTACTCTGTACAGCAACATCTCTCACTAAGTCTGACATCCTACCTACTCTGTACACCAACATCTCTCACTAACAGACAGTCTGACATCCTACCTACTCTGTACACCAATATCTCCCACTAACAGGCAGTTTGACATCCTACCTACTCTGTACACCAACATCTCTCACTAACAGGCAGTTTGACATCCTACCTACTCTGTACACCAACATCTCTCACTAAATAACAGTGTGACATCCTACCTACTCTGTACACCAACATCTCTCACTAACAGGCAGTCTGACATCCTACCTACTCTGTACACCATTATCTCTCACTAACACTCAGTTTGACATCCTACCTACTCTGTACACCAACATCTCTCACTAACAGACAGTCTGACATCCTACCTACTCTGTACACCAATATCTCTCACTAACAGACAGTCTGACATCCTACCTACTCTGTACATCAATATCTCTCACTAACAGGCAGTCTGACATCCTACCTACTCTGTACACCAACATCTCTCACTAACAGACAGTCTGACATCCTACCTACTCTGTACACCAACATCTCTCACTAACAGACAGTCTGACATCCTACCTACTCTGTACACCAACATCTCTCACTAACAGACAGTCTGACATCCTACCTACTCTGTACACCAATATCTCTCACTAACAGGCAGTTTGACATCCTACCTACTCTGTACACCAACATCTCTCACTAACAGACAGTCTGACATCCTACCTACTCTGTACACCAACATCTCTCACTAACAGACATCTGACATCCTACCTACTCTGTACACCAACATCTCTCACTAAATAACAGTGTGACATCCTACCTACTCTGTACACCAACATCTCTCACTAACAGACAGTCTGACATCCTACCTACTCTGTACACCAATATCTCTCACTAACAGGCAGTCTGACATCCTACCTACTCTGTACACCAATATCTCTCACTAACAGGCAGTCTGACATCCTACCTACTCTGTACACCAACATCTCTCACTAACAGACAGTCTGACATCCTACCTACTCTGTACACCAACATCTCTCACTAACAGACAGTCTGACATCCTACCTACTCTGTACACCAGCATCTCTCACTAACAGACAGTCTGACATCCTACCTACTCTGTACACCAACATCTCTCACTAACAGACAGTCTGACATCCTACCTACTCTGTACACCAATATCTCTCACTAACAGGCAGTTTGACATCCTACCTACTCTGTACACCAACATCTCTCACTAACAGACAGTCTGACATCCTACCTACTCTGTACACCAATATCTCTCACTAACAGGTAGTTTGACATCCTACCTACTCTGTACACCAACATCTCTCACTAAGTCTGACATCCTACCTACTCTGTACACCAACATCTCTCACTAAGTCTGACATCCTACCTACTCTGTACACCAACATCTCTCACTAAATAACAGTTTGACATCCTACCTACTCTGTACACCAACATGTCTCACTAACAGACAGTCTGACATCCTACCTATTCTGTACACCAATATCTCTCACTAACAGACAGTCCAACATCCCACCTACTCTGTACACCAATATCTCTCACTTGCACACAGAGCCCTACAGCCTTCATAAAATTGCATTCATATACACATGTTGAAACATGTTGATTTAAAATATTCTGTTCAGCCTACCATCATCAAATGGTGGGCTGTCCAAATTGCTCTTCATCCATGGTCCATCATCTTTCTGTCCTCATTAAGAGCTGCTGGATCCCTCATTCTCCTTGGTCCCTAATTGTGCATAATCATGTTAGACTTTTTGGATAACTGAAGTGGCCAACAAGTGGTCATATTGGATTTTGAAAGATGAAGTTATGAAGTTATCAATATTTCTTTGGGAAGTACAGGATAGATTTTTCTCTTTCATATGTGGATTCCCCTTTGTCTAGGTTGATCATGTTCAATATTTGGACCAAATATATGATTAAAAATGACAGCCTTTTTTTTTTTTTTTTTTAATCAACCATTTTCAGATGGTTGACTGCTCAAAGCACACTTCATCTGTGGTTTGTGATTCTTCTGTAAAAGGAAAGTAGGGAAAAGATCCAACCTGATTTATACCAGTTTGTCTACTTGCAAAGCTTTCTGATTCCTTGTTTTAGGCATTCATATTTGTTGTATTGTTCAAGACAAGACCCAATTCATTAGATTTTGAAGGTAATATCTTTATCGAAATTTGTTTCTGTAAGTTGTTCATTATGACTGCATAAATCTATTATATGCTGTTATTAGTTGATACATACTATTTATGACAAATATTGTCCAATCAGTGCTCTGTGGTTAAATCAGTCTCTGCGTCATCGTGCTGTTTTGGAAAGCATATTTACAACAGATGTATGTTCTACAGTAATTGTCAGATAAAACCTCATTGACATATCTCAAGTGTTCTGCAGAATGGTTTGTTTGTCCATGTAATGACGTTGTGATGATACCAGTCCATCTGTTTACAAATTCTGGATTATTTCATGTAACAGAGATTCCATCAGGTTGTAAAAGAAATGCCTTCTTTTTATGATTTTGTACTTGTTCCCAAGCTTCTGTGATTATCGGCATGTTCTGGTATAAGTTTAGTCATCTTGAATATGTCTGATACTCCTGGTGGTAGTGTAATAGTCTGCTATCACAACAATGTTGGTTGATTTCATGCAGAAGGGATACCACAAGTGTCATCAGAGAAATTGTTAAAAGGGCATTGTTGTAGAAATAGAGGAGATAATGTAATGAAAAAAAAAATTAAGATAGGAAAAGGAAAAAGGGATAATCATTGAAGAGAAAAAACTGAAATGAAGGAACACAACAGAATCAATATCAACAGAGGAAATCAGGTGATTAGAAAAACACACCTCAATATTCAGATTAGAATGATATTAATTTGTGCCCTTTGGTATCAAACAGGAATGGAACTTGAAGGAAAGGTTCTGGAAATGAGTTAGATATGAAAAATGATTAAGAGAATTAAACACCAGTTTGGAATATTCATGCTAACCAAACAAGATCATCATAATTAAGGCCTATCATAAATCAAGCTTTGGTCATTATCAGTTACTACTCATCCCCTTGGAGAGGAACTGGTCTGGAGATTATCTAAACACCAGGCAGCTTATTGGTTAAAAGGCGATCTTTGGTACAGTGTAATAGCAAATATATAGCCACACTCCTGCCTCTACTAGGTAGAGATTGTACCTGTTATTTAAAGCATGTTGATGTACAGTATACGCCTTACATCAAAGAATTTTCATTGTACAAAATAATACCGATGGGTGTTGTCTTCTCATGTGTTATGTATATTATAAATAAGATCCAAAGGAGTATTTGGCCGGTGATAAACAATCTCTTTTCATTTAAATCAAATAAGTATCTACATACCACAGCAAAATGTAAAGAAAATGTCCATACATGTATAAGCACTCTTTGTAGTCGCTTACAATCGCACGTGTTTTTAAGCAAAAATGGTAATACTGTACAAACTTAGTACACAGTGAACTATTTCAACAGTAAATCACTGTCCTTTCTATCAAATGTTTAATTGCCATAGGAAGACAGTTTAATTCAAAACTAATAATTAATGAATTCTTAGCCATATGTCTCAATCAAGACACAAATTTAATAAATTCCTTCAGAAACATAGACATGTGCTGATGGCATTTTGGTGGCAATATCCACCATGAAGGAAAATCAAATGAAGCCTGTCATTTCTTAACAGTCGAACATTTAATTATTAATATCAAAAGATTAAAAGATAATTATATTCTAACCAACATATTTTTCAAGGTTCCAAATGTTTTGGTCAGATTCCTTAGGTCACAAATTAGAGGCATTCAGTATTCTCACAACACATCCATCAATGCTTCTTCAAAGAATACTTGTCTTGAGGTCCGTATGTATCCCCAGGAAACCAGTTCTGTTCCATCATACTGGGAAGGCTAAGAATGAATCAGGATTGACTTACAGGTCATGTCCTATTACAGGGATATGATAGAACAGATACAGAAGTTTGAGAACAGTTTAACATTTTTGTATTTACATTAGGATATACTTGTATAATACAAAATCAAGGTCTGCACCTGATAAGAATTTGGTGGTCCTTATAGACTCATCAAATTAGGTCAAAGGGTGGAACTGATTTGTTTTATTCAACTGACCCAGATGTTTAAAAAATGTATGTATAAACATGTACACAGCTTGGCAGTTACCAGCTGTGAGTTAAGATGCTCAGATATGTCCAATTTCACACCACATGTACTGGTGGTTGGTCTTGACTCCTACATCTTGCCTACTGTAAACACGATGAAAAACATTATTGAAATTATATGGACTTGTGAGGCTTCCTCATAGTATCTGCACTGAGTTACCCTAATCCATAGCCAAATGAACTGTTGGTGTCCAATTGAACTACAAAAAGTATAAAAGATGAAACACCTGTTTACAATATACATGTAAAAATTTTTACTTCTGTCTCAAAGTTTTTCATAATTGGTTCTTTCTAACATATAAAAATGTGTATGTTTTTTGTGATTCAAATGTAATTTTAATTTAGGTAATTAACCATGAAATTGCTTCAGGATATGTCTCAAGTTCTATTTTTATGTCTGTATTTTTCATTGGTAGATCACTTTTGTATTTTGAGATCCATTAGAAACAATAATAATACGAACTGAGGATATATCATGCGATATACATGTTATACAGAAATTGATCTGTCATAAAGTTGACTGCTTCAATAATTCTCTGCCTTATGCCATTTTCTTTTCAATTTTCGCAAACTTCACTCGAAGTACATATTTCTTGTTTGATGGATCAGACAGTGGTTTTGAAGTCAGAAACTCGACAACAAGTTTATGTGTATTTCCTTGCAGGCTTATTAAAGAAGCTGGTAACTAATGGTGACAGTTTAGAATTACTGATGAAGCTGAATTTGGAGGGTGTCACACTTCTTTCTATCCTTAAAAAGTTGTTGGTCAGCAAGAAAGAAGTCCAGCAAATATCCTCCATCCAGATTCTGTCCACCATTCTACAAAATCCTGATGGTCACTCCTCTAATTATACTGGGGCCATCGTACAGTCAGACCTCATGGGTGAGTACCATTTTTCAAGGTTATTTGAAGGTCTTTTCCTGTGTTTGACCTCTGTCACACCTCATCCAGACCTTCTTGTATTTTGATTTTGGCACAACTACAGAAAAAATCAGTTGTTACAACATGAAAAGCTCAAAGTCAGGATTACTACTAAAAGAGGGACATTTACAGCAACGTTAAAAGAAGTTAATGATACAAAGATATCTTGATTTCTCTAAGATGGGGGCCTCATCATCTCCCTTGTCAGATTTGTGGCTTAATGATGATGGATGTGAACAGATACAAAATATCCTCAACTGGTTCCAAATGTGAGGTATTTAAAGAAATCTTCCCTCAGACAAGCACATGCAGAAATGGTTTTGTGAGATTGTGCTGTGTTTAATTCACTGTCTTCATGATGATTTATTTTCATTATTGTCATTTTCCTGGAGGGAATGTTCATTAGAAGAGTGGTGTTCTTCACAAACCATACATTTATGAGACACTCTTGTGTTTTGCAAATCTTCATGGTTTTTATACGCCCGTCGAAAGACGGATGTATTATGGTATGGTGATGTCCATCCGTCCGATGTAAACCTTTATTTGTCCGGAGATCTCCTCCTACATTTTTCAGCCAATCTTTATGAAACTTGGTAGGCTTAATCACCATGATATGAAGTTGTGTTTTCCTGAACGGGGTTTTGATTTGGTGATTTAAACAAGAGTTATGGCCCTTTGTTTATTTCACTATAGAAATCTTGTCCGGAGATCTCCTCCATTATTTTTCAGCCGATCTTTATGAAACTTGGTAGGCTGAATCACCATGATATGAAATTGTGTTTTCCTGAACAGGGTTTTGATTAGACAATTTGAATAAGAGTTATGCCCCTTTGCTGTTTTGGATATTCATGGGCGTATTTTGTTCCGCTTTGCGGTACTCTTGTTTGTAATATGCTATTGTTGGTTTTTGAATGCCTGTAAGTGTATACGAATGATACATTTTGTTTTGTCCATCATCCACTTTTTTATTACAATAACTTCCTCCTGTGAACTGCATATATACTCGTGATCATTGGCTCTAAGTTTCCTGCGAGCAAACTTTGTATAAAGAAGTATGGCTTAGGCGTACTTGGTCAAAACATATCTGTATTTATGATTTGACCATTAGTTAACTGTGAACTTATTGCTACATAGATGATGTTGACCTTTATTCAGGATTGTGTAGATTTCACATATGCTTAACGCTTCAAGAAAACGGCCATTAGTGAATTTTCAAACCAAAATAACAACAAAACTTTATAACGATAGACATTGATATTCAGTCTGTTATATTAGATATCAAATCTTAGATAAATTCAAGATCAGATAACTGGAGATGAAAACTGTGAGATGCCTCTGAATTGAGTGCTACAGACCCATCAGCATTACTTGTATATACCTTGGTGTGTTAATCAATAAAAAAATTGTTGTCTTGTATATCTCTAGGCTGCATTAGTTATTTACACATCACCATGTTATGTCTGATACTCCAAACTTTCTTCCCTGTTCCCAACTAACTGTTCTGAGCAGATAGGTAATGAATTAGGCTTATCCAAAAAAAATAATGCTAAACATATACAATAATTGTTCTGCGTACCGTAAACACACATATTTTAGCAATAATTTTATTTTAGGGCTTTTCATGCTGGAAGTATTGTGCAGCAATAAGACCAGATAATTACAGGTTCTTTATACTGCTTATAATTAGTTACCATTGTAGGCATGCAAATTTATCTTTGCACTAAATTGCCAAAAACAGATAATGTGCTGAAAATTATTGAACCAAATTAAATATATTTACAGTGTATTATCAGTTTCTGTGATAACAGTTAATAAAATGATGAACAGATACATAAAATGCTTCATTGTGAAATCAGATGTATAAGGATGAACATGAAAGTATGTGATAAGAATGTTTCAAACATATTTTGTATCCCACAGAGTTCCTGTTTGAATGTCTCCATACTCGGAACACTACTCAGACAAGGTAGGGCAACATTGCATATCTACTAGATTTAACAAACTATACTGTTAGACCTGTTACAATGTCTCTTGATTCATATACAAACACTTGTATTATAATACTATAGAGTATGCTTGGTCAGTGTCTTAAAATATAAGCTGTATTTTGGTGAGAGTGAAGAAACAAGAATACTGCAAAAATATATAAGGCAGGTGTATTCTGACTATGGGAGTGTTAAATTTCAGGATCGAAAGTCTTTTATCCTGTTATTAGTACATGTTACATAATGAAGCAGTGTTATTTATATTGACATTATATGGTTCCCAGGTCAGTGTCATGAACGCTTCTTAGTTTACTGTTCTAAGTTTCAAATGGTCACAGTAATATCACCTTTAGAACAAACTGCATTCAGTATATAAAGTTTAAAGAGAAAAAGTTGCCTCAATGTAGGCTATGAGTGAATAGGTCTGGAGTGTGATTCTATCCATGTAATGTTTTTGTTATAACACATCAAATGAATAAAGACAACTTCCAGTTCAAGGTATTTGGATTAGTTAGTATGAATCTGGAATCAGGCAATTCCATGAACTAAATGCCAGTGTTATAACATTTCTCTAACACTTTTATATAAACATCCCTGATGTTCTGCCAGCATATGCATAAACTTGAAGGACATGATAATACTGACAGGTATTATCATCACATAGTCTTTAAAGTTTTCAGGACCACTGAAGTTAATGCCAAGAACAATTTCAGAGTTAAAGTTGTGGTAGGATAATTCATAAATCTCTTGGCTTTGTATCTACAATGATATACATCCTCCATTCCCAGAATAGGAACTTTGCAGTATATATAGAAAAGACTCTCATACCTAGTTTATATACAAGTTATAAATTGATTTTTTTTTTTCATGAATGAAAAGGTTACCAAGTGCAACAATAAGTCAATCCCAACTTTCATTTAAAATGTTTCATTGTTTGTAAAAAAAAAAAACCCACAGAGATCAGATTCACAGGAAGATCAGAACTAATTGGAAGATATCTTTTCACCCAGTTTGATTTGTATATAAACTTCTACCTTATCAAATAGTGCCTACCTTCTTTCTAGCTGACTTGTGTACTGGATAGGAAATTGTAGGAGCCAGTGTAATTTGTGAAAAAGAAAAGATTTAAAAGTTTGGCAGGTGGAGAAGAATTTATCTTATTGTTGATTGACGCCTGACAAACGATATCAGATCCTTAACCAATTAAAACCTCTGTTATTTTAGGGTCAGCCAATGAGAGATTTCAGAAAATTGACTTAATGTCTTGTTAGTGCCAAGTGATGGGAAAGGTCAAAGGGATGTAATTGTACTTTTATCATAGATTTCTACATGTATCCATAAATAACACAGAGGAATTTTATAAGATAAAAGCTGAGATCTATATTACATTAAGGTTTTAAAATTATATCAAGTTTAATCAGTGTTTAAAATAATGTTGTATCATTGTTTAAGTCATATCTGTGAAGCTATAGGGTGTTTAACAAGGATATGCACCAGTTGAAAAGAGGTCAAGTCTTTTGAAAGGTAAACAAGAAAATAGGTTATTTCCTAAAAATTTACACTTGATTCTAAAATTGTGTCTTGTTGGACATTCTGAACATTGCATAGTGTCATACACAGAAATTGTGTGAGAGAATATGAAGTTTAGGAATAACATCAGTGCTTTAAAGCTTACCTGGCTAAATGATGGGACATCAACCATTAGTTGGTTATCAATATATTCAAGGTCATAATATGGCTTGTAGCATGCAAGGATGAAGGTTTAAAGCTAGTGCATGTTGAAGGCCACACTGGTCATATAAGAATCACAGAAAAGACTTCTTTACAATTAAGAGGCACATTGGTCATGAATTTGGGGATCTGACTTATTCCTGGAGATACATGTGGGAGTTCTTCCTAGCTTTTCCAGAAAGACGATCCCACAAAAGACTTCTGTACAATTAAGAGGCACATTGGTCATGAATTTGGGGATCTGACTTATTCCAGGAGAAGTATGTGAAAGTTCTTGTTTTTCATAGTCCTGATAACCAAACCTGTTTCCTTTCATGAAAAGTGAAGATGAACTGTAGTATTACATAACAGTTCTGTGTTCTAATGTCAGGGAGATGTAGAGAACACATTACTATGGATGATAGCCAAACATGACATTCTTGTTTTCTTTCATGAAGATTGAAGTGAAAATATTTTGTTAATTATAATGATATTTTTGGTCAGTAACAGCAAATAATAAAACTGGGCATTCCTTTCATCTGCCGATTAAGAAATAACACCAAATTTTTGTCTCGTCTCTGACAACTCTGAAAATTAGGGTTGCTGAGAATCTGTACTTAAAAGTTTTGTGTTTAGTTTGGTTTCTCATGTAAAGCACAAGTGCTATTCTTATCAAACCTGGAAAAGTTACATTCTAGTATGGAAATCTTAAACCAGCCAAATAGACTGCATGAATTTCATTTTGTGTGTATGTGAGTGTGTGCCTGTGAGAGAAGGGTGTGCATGTGCGTGGTACAAAGTTTTAGATTTTTCATGGTGGCTTCATAGACTTATTGTTTGTTCTGTTCACTTCAGATTTGTTGTACAGTTATACTGAAACAAGTAAAACATCAAACAATTTTTCCTCTTCCTCAACTGAAAAAGTAATATTTTGGGGACAAATATGCCATGCTTGAATGGCAAATATTTAGGCTGTAAAATTTTGATTTGGAAGGAGCAAGTAAAGGCTGGTGTTTTTTCAATTCAAGTTATTTGAATAAGATACAAGATACCTACTGATTCCACAGTTTCATATCATCATGTTATAAAAACTGTTCAGGATTTTGTCTCCTCTTAGTTATAGAAATCCCACTCTGGATAAACATAATATAAACCTGTTGAATTAAAGATAATGAAATACCTCTCAGTTTAAATTTTGGAAAATTACATAGGGTTTATGTGAGACATGAAAAAGTCCCACTTTGTATAAACAATTGAAAAAAATATTTGCTCAGACCAAGTAAGAGATACAGGAACCTCATTGTTGGCAAACAGGGTCCAGTAAAAGATAAAATAATCCAAAAGTTGGTATAAAATAGATCACTAGGACAAAGTAAGAGGTAAAGAAATCCCATTCTGGGTAAATGACAGCAATACACCTGGTCAGATTAAGTGATAAGGAAATCCCATCTCTACATAAACAATGGATACACCTGGTCAGAGTAAGTGATGAGGAAATCCTGCTCCTGGTCAGCGATAAGGAAATCCCACCTTGGGTAAACAGCAGAGATATTTGTCTGTTTGGGGTAAGAGATAATAAAATCCCACATAGGGATATTTTGGGTAAAGAACAAATATAGACCTGGTTAGAGTAAGAGATCAAGAAATTCCACAGTGGGTAAAAAGTAGATTCACTAGGTCAAGGTAAGCGGTGGGAATCGCATTTTGGGTAAAGAACAAAGATACACCTGGTCAGAGGAAGAAATAAGGCAATCCAACTCAAGGTAAACAATGGATACACTTCTCACCAGGTCAGAATAAGAGATATGAGAACCCCATTTAGGGTTAACAATGAATTCACTCAGTTAGAATCTCACACTCTGGATAAACAATAGATACACCTGGTCAGTGTAAGAGACATGGAAATCCCTAGATAAACAATGGATACACCTGGTCAGTGTAAGAGACAAGGAAATCCCACACCAGGTAAACAATGGATACACCTGGTCAGTGTAAGAGACATGGAAATCCCTAGATAAACAATGGATACACCTGGTCAGTGTAAGAGACATGGAAATCCCTAGATAAACAATAGATACACCTGGTCAGTGTAAGAGACACCAGGTAAACAAAATACACCTGGTCAGATAAACAATGGATCCCACACCAGGTAAACAATGGATACACCTGGTCAGGGTAAGGGATAAGGAAATCCCACACCTGGTAAACAATGGATACACTTGGTCAGTGTAAGAGACATGGAAATCCCTAGATAAACAATGGATACACCTGGTCAGTGTAAGAGACAAGGAAATCCCACACCAGGTAAACAATGGATACACCTGGTCAGTGTAAGAGACAAGGAAATCCCACACCAGGTAAACAATGGATACACCTGGTCAGTGTAAGAGACATGGAAATCCCTAGATAAACAATGGATACACCTGGTCAGTGTAAGAGATAAGGAAATCCCTAGATAAACAATGGATACACCTGGTCAGAGTAAGGGATAAGGAAATCCCACACCAGGTAAACAATGGATACACTTGGTCAGTGTAAGAGACATGGAAATCCCTAGATAAACAATGGATACACCTGGTCAGTGTAAGGGATAAGGAAATCCCACACCAGGTAAACAATGGATACACCTGGTCAGTGTAAGGGATAAGGAAATCCCACACCAGGTAAACAATGGATACACCTGGTCAGGGTAAGAGACATGGAAATCCCTAGATAAACAATAGATACACCTGGTCAGGGTAAGAGACATGAAAATCCCTAGATAAACAATGGATACACCTGGTCAGTGTAAGAGACATGGAAACCCCTAGATAAACAATGGATACACCTGGTCAGTGTAAGAGACATGGAAATCCCTAGATAAACAATGGATACACCTGGTCAGTGTAAGGGATAAGGAAATCCCACACCAGGTAAACAATGGATACACCTGGTCAGTGTAAGGGATAAGGAAATCCCAGGTAAACACACTGGTCAGGTAAACAATGGATACACCTGGTCAGTGTAAGAGAGTGGAAATCCCTAGATAAACAATGGATACACAAGGTCAGTGTAAGGGATAAGGAAATCCCACACCAGGTAAACAATGGATACACCTGGTCAGTGTAAGAGACATGGAAATCCACCAGGTAAACAATGGATACACCTGGTCAGGGTAAGAGACATGGAAATCTCTAGATAAACAATGGATACACCTGGTCAGAGTAAGGGATAAGGAAATCCCACATCAGGTAAACAATGGATACACCTGGCCAGTGTAAGGGATAAGGAAATCCCACACCAGGTAAACAATAGATACACCTGGTCAGTGTAAGGGATAAGGAAATCCCACACCAGGTAAACAATAGATGCACCAGGTAAGAAATCCCACATCAGGTAAACAATGGATACACCTGGTCAGTGTAAGGGATAAGGAAATCCCACACCAGGTAAACAATAGATACACCTGGTCAGTGTAAGGGATAAGGAAATCCCACACCAGGTAAACAATGGATACACCTGGTCAGTGTAAGGGATAAGGAAATCCCACACCAGGTAAACAATGGATACACCTGGTCAGTGTAAGAGACATGGAAATCCCTAGATAAACAATGGATACACCTGGTCAGTGTAAGAGACAAGGAAATCCCATACCAGGTAAACAATGGATACACCTGGTCAGTGTAAGAGATATGGAAATCCCTAGATAAACAATGGATACACCTGGTCAGGGTAAGAGACATGGAAATCCCTAGATAAACAATAGATACACCTGGTCAGAGTAAGGGATAAGGAAATCCCACACCAGGTAAACAATGGATACACCTGGTCAGTGTAAGGGATAAGGAAATCCCACACCAGGTAAACAATGGATACACCTGGTCAGTGTAAGAGACATGGAAATCCCTGGATAAACAATGGATACACATGGTCAGTGTAAGAGGTAAGGAAATCCCATACCAGGTAAACAATGGATACACCTGGTCAGTGTAAGAGACATGAAAATCCCTAGATAAACAATGGATACACCTGGTCAGTGTAAGAGACATGGAAATCCCTAGATAAACTATGGATACACCTGGTCAGTGTAAGAGACATGGAAATCCCATACCAGGTAAACAATGGATACACCTGGTCAGTGTAAGAGACATGGAAATCCCTAGATAAACAATGGATACACCTGGTCATTGTAACAGATAGGGAAATCACATTCTAGATAAACAATGGATACACCTGGTCAGTGTAACAGATAGGGAAATCACATTCTAGATAAACAATGGATACACCTGGTCAGTGTAACAGATAGGGAAATCACATTCTAGATAAACAATGGATACACCTGGTCAGTGTAACAGATAGGGAAATCACATTCTAGATAAACAATGGACACACCTTAACAAAGTAACTTTATTTATAGGTAAAGTGTCTTGTAATCCAGCTGTTAACAGTAACATGTGCAATATGATTATGGTAAAATTTATCTCAAAATTATGAAATAAGGCATTCAGCAAATACATGGCTTATCACATGCCCATGTTTAATTTGTATAAAACCCTTATTGATATCATATATTATTTTCCAGACATATTTTCCAATGTTTGCAACCTCTGTGTCAGCTGGAGCAATTTTATACCAAATGTCACTCTGTTTATGGTAAGTAAATAAAAGTCCTTTTTTTGGTGTTAAATTTTGTTTCATTTGTTTGATGATCAGCAATTTCTTTCTCAGTCTGTATCTTAGCATGTGGATGTTTCAGGTATAGAATCTATCCTGAGGTCCCTAGAGATACTAGCAGACATGAGGAACTATGAACTCTCAGAGGAAGGACTTAAAATTCTGGCTACATTTCTTACAAAGTAAGTGTGTTCCCAAAAAGGATCACTTTTGTAGTTAAATGCTTATAATTTTAGTTTCCAGGTGTTTTTGTGCAGTGAACAGATTTAAAGTGCACTGATTATTTTCTGGAAGACGGAAGTCATCCTATAGGTTAGCAGAAGAATGCTGAAAAAATAGTCACAGAACATTAGACCTTGCAATCTCAGGTGTAGATCTGTTGTGGGACTGCTTCAGTTATCACTAATTGGGGAGCTATTTGTTCCTCAAAAAGCTGAAATGTTTTCTTTCCTGTTGTTTTTATTTGACAAAACCATTTAACCCAATTGCTTTAGATATATAACATCTGATGGGCTTCCTGTGTGTGAGGCAGTAGGGTAGTCACCAGCTTGAACAAAGAAACCTCGCCTCAAAATGACCCTGGCTGTTGAGTGGGTGACAAACCCCAGCTAAATTGCCAAACAAGCATGTATGTGACTGCTAAGTTGTTGATTATTATTATAATAATTATGCTGGTGTATCGTACGATGGCCATTTATACATCATCATTACATTGTACACATTGAAATATGTCATTTTGACCTTTCATTTAATATTTCAGCATCAGATTTTACAAAATTTACCTTGGAAACTAATTGATTGATTTTATGTACAGACAGCCTAGCAATGTGCCGCTGTTCATCAATGCTAAGATGGTCCAATTTTGCATGTCAGTCATCAGTCGTGGACTCAAACAACAACATCCAATGGTCTTCTCAGCCTCCCTTTCAGTTCTTGAGGCAATCATCAGGTAGGCGTATACTAAGTTACGATGCTTGATATATCAGTCAATATGGGAAGACTTCCGTTGTGATCTTCTCCATTATATTGAGAAATGAAGGGATACATTTATACTTTGCTTGGGTTCTAAAATTGATGGGTACCATCATTAATGTCATTGGAAATCACATTAAATTGTTATTTTTGAAAGTTTTTAAAAAGACTAAAAAAAAAAAAATAATGAAGACTCATATATTTCATTTAAAGATGATATTATATAAAGAGTAGAGTTTAAACCATCCTTGATACTCTAGGGGTTGCACTCACTTTTGCTCTCTTCACCCCTGGCACATTTCATGGCAAAATAGCAGCCACAGGCAAAGTAATTTCATTGGTCTAGTGGAAAAAGACTGACCAAACACAGACTGGCACGCTCCTTTGAAGATTACAAAGGAGGGACGCCCAACTTCAAGATTTCTTTAATGTACATCAAAGGATCAAACTAGTCTTTTCATCTTATTCACAAGGTGTTGCACATGGAAACTCCAGTTTTGCAATTAAGTCTTCCAGGGTGCAGAGAGCCATAGTGACTATAACCCCTGGAGTATCTAGGATATATAAAAACAGAAATATTACTAATATGGTAAAATCTCTTGGTTTCTGATATTATATCTAATGAAGGAAAACAATTATGTTTTACCTAAGGCTCCTCGCGCGCTTACATCCGGGCCAACAAGAGTGATTGATTAACAATTGTTGTAAAACAAATAAAGTTTATATTAATGAAGGAAAACAATTATGTTTTATCTAAATAGGATTGATTAACCATTATAGGAAGGATCATCTTTTGCTGCCTGTGCCTTTTGAGGAGCTAGAGGATGTAATCAGGCACTGCAGCAAAATCTTCTGGGCAAAAGCTAATAGTCCAGAGGTTATAACTGCTAAGCCTAACAGACCCAAAGGAAAGAAGACTGGACATGGAGGCGGGAAAGAGCAAAGCGACATTTACACTTACTGTCAGACTTATTTGAAATGTATACGGTAAACAATGTCTGTGCTTCTGCATGTAATATTTGAAGGTCAAGGTAACATCTGTAAAGATTTACTTCTGCCTCTATATAACTAATAGAATAGTCTTTGTGTTTAAATTACTGTATATGTAGTAAGCAACAAAGTCCACAAATGAATGCAAGCAAGGTGATAGTCAACTTTCGTTATGCTTTCCTGCGACAATTTAAGTGTCATCACCTGCAATTAAAATATGGTTACATCAACCAACACATGGCTCTCCCATGTTTTTTTCTGAAATCAGTACAATAAGTTGCAGTAAAAACTTGTTTGTTTGTTGTTGGTCAGTGATCACTGGGAAAAATTTGTAATGACAGGCAAAAGATTTAGCTTTGCCAAATCACTATATTGTAGACACAGATATTACAAAATTGTCTATCTTTTCTAAGGCCAGCTTAATCTAGTAACTAGAAGTTGACTCAAATATTGAAGTAAGTGTTACAAGGATTATTAACCTACTTTTATAACAGGCATTCTCAGAAACAAGTTGTACGAGTCCTAAACCTGGAATCAAGAACTTCGATGTCAGTGGTCTAGGCGTAGCACACTTTCTAACACTCAGCTTTATCTGATACTAAACTGTCCTTAGTGTGTTTTTTTTTATCAGGAATAGCATTACATCAACATGAGATATCTCTAGAATGCTATCATTCCTGTTTCATTACTCCACCTTCACTTACTCCAACAAAATATGTTGAAAACCAAAATGATGGGTGTTTCAAACTTTGGTGCTGATCACTTTGTGATCCTTGTGCATGCTTCATTTACATCATTGACAGATTATTTTTAGATGTATTAATTACCAAAGTATGAATTACTGATATCATTGTCATTGTTGGTTATAATTCTAAATTACATAATACACAGAGTCATTGATGCCATGTTTTACATTATAGTAACTACCAGGTGTACTGTAGTCACTCCATGTAGCAATAACATAGTTTTAAAATAATCAAAATTGCTATAATAAAGTATTGAATGATGTAAATACATTATTGAACAACATAGGGTGGTGAATGCAATGGGATCCAAATTTTTCAAATGCAGCACTTACATGCTACATAGAATGTGTCTGTATCCCATTGCAGTTACAGTACCATAAACACCATTAGAGCTCTGTTTAATCGTTATGTAGTATTAAACAATAGATAGGTTTTAGCTACAGAAAACATTTGAAGATATAGAAAAGGTGTAATAAAGGAAGGAGAGTGTGATCACTTATTGATAGACTTAATCTCATTAATTTGGCTGCATTGATGTGAAAGGTCAAGGTAACACTGATGATAAAGTTCTCTACTAATAAATCATGTCACCTGTGTGATATCCAGTACTGAACAGTTAAAAATCTGTCCATTATCAGACTTTAGTTAGATTGATGTGTAACCCATACAAGCCTGTAGCACCCATGACATTATAGTTCTGGTTAACCAGCAATGTTCAGACGTTTGGCACTTTGAGGGAAATAACATCAAGTATCACAGCTAAAATGTTTCATTAGCTGAACCAAACAAACAAGTTTTTTTTTAGATTGTTCAAAAAGAGGCTGAAATATTCATAAAAGTTGCTGCAGGTTATACCTATGAATCGTGCAATTTTAGAGATGCTTCCTTGGCTATGCTTTCCAGATAATTTTCATTATGTTAGGCCGGTGAATGGTGATCTATCAATTACTACATAAAACAAATTCATTATTGTTGTTTTTGTTGCGGATACATGTACATTTCTCCTGTTTATGTTTCACACTGTCACGATCAATTACAGAACCGATTCCTTTTACTGATAAACATGGTAGAATACCAGAAAAAAAAGATGCCTAAATCAAAAGCAGACAGCTTTAACACAAATTGGTTTTATCACTTATTGGTGACTAATTCATGAGATAAAGGGTCATAATTTGGAAACAATTGTGATTTCTTATGTAAAACCACTTGATGAATATGAAAAAGGAACAAAGTTTTACTTATAGGATCGGCTGTGTGGTTGACTCTTACCCTTGAGGTTAAGTACATTAGTTTGACATGTTAGGGGTATCTGTAAAAAGAGGGTTATGAAGGTTTAGTACATTAGTTTGACATGTTAGGGGTATCTGTAAAAAGAGGGTTATGAAGGTTTAGTACATTAGTTTGACATGTTAGGGGTATCTGTAAAAAGAGGGTTATGGAGGTTTAGTACATTAGGTTGACATGTTTAGGGTATCTGTAAAAAGAGGGTTATGAAGGTTTAGTACATTAGTTTGACATGTTTAGGGTATCTGTAAAAAGAGGGTTATGAAGGTTTAGTACGTTAGTTTGACATGTTTAGGGTATCTGTAAAAAGAGGGTTATGAAGGTTTAGTACGTTAGTTTGACATGTTTAGGGTATCTGTATAAAGAGGGTTATGAAGGTTTAGTACGTTAGTTTGACATGTTTAGGGTATCTGTATATTTAGGTTGACATGTTTAGGGTATCTGTAAAAAGAGGGTTATGGAGGTTTGGTATATTTAGGTTGACATGATTAGAAGGTTTAAAACAGAGGTTGACATGTTTAGGGTATCTGTAAAAAGAGGGTTATGAAGGTTTAGTACATTAGGTTGACATGTTTAGGGTATCTGTAAAAAGAGGGTTATGGAGGTTTGGTATCTGTAAAAAGAGGGTTATGGAGGTTTGGTATATTTAGGTTGACATGTTTAGGGTATCTGTAAAAAGAGGGTTATGAAGGTTTAGTACATTAGTTTGACATGTTAGGGGTATCTGTAAAAAGAGGGTTATGGAGGTTTGGTATCTGTAAAAAGAGGGTTATGGAGGTTTGGTATATTTAGGTTGACATGTTTAGGGTATCTGTAAAAAGAGGGTTATGGAGGTTTGGTATATTTAGGTTGACATGATTAGGGTATCTGTAAAAAGAGGGTTATGGAGGTTTGGTATATTTAGTTTGACATGATTAGGGTATCTGTAAAAAGAGGGTTATGGAGGTTTGGTATCTGTAAAAAGAGGGTTATGGAGGTTTGGTATATTTAGTTTGACATGTTTAGGGTATCTGTAAAAAGAGGGTTATGAAGGTTTAGTATGTTAGTTTGACATGTTTAGGGTATCTGTAAAAAGAGGGTTATGGAGGTTTGGTATATTTAGGTTGACATGTTTAGGGTATCTGTAAAAAGAGGGTTATGGAGGTTTGGTATATTTAAGTTGACATGATTAGGGTATCTGTAAAAAGAGGGTTATGGAGGTTTGGTATATTTAGGTTGACATGTTTAGGGTATCTGTAAAAAGAGGGTTATGGAGGTTTGGTATCTGTAAAAAGAGGGTTATGGAGGTTTGGTATATTTAGGTTGACATGTTTAGGGTATCTGTAAAAAGAGGGTTATGGAGGTTTGGTATATTTAGGTTGACATGATTAGGGTATCTGTAAAAAGAGGGTTATGGAGGTTTAGTACATTAGTTTGACATGATTAGGGTATCTGTAAAAAGAGGGTTATGGAGGTTTGGTATATTTAGGTTGACATGTTTAGGGTATCTGTAAAAAGAGGGTTATGGAGGTTTGGTATCTGTAAAAAGAGGGTTATGAAGGTTTAGTACATTAGGTTGACATGTTTAGGGTATCTGTAAAAAGAGGGTTATGGAGGTTTGGTATCTGTAAAAAGAGGGTTATGGAGGTTTGGTATATTTAGGTTGACATGTTTAGGGTATCTGTAAAAAGAGGGTTATGGAGGTTTGGTATATTTAGGTTGACATGATTAGGGTATCTGTAAAAAGAGGGTTATGGAGGTTTGGTATCTGTAAAAAGAGGGTTATGAAGGTTTAGTACATTAGGTTGACATGTTTAGGGTATTTGTAAAAAGAGGGTTATGGAGGTTTGGTATCTGTAAAAAGAGGGTTATGGAGGTTTGGTATATTTAGGTTGACATGATTAGGGTATCTGTAAAAAGAGGGTTATGGAGGTTTGGTATATTTAGGTTGACATGATGAGGGTATCTGTAAAAAGAGGGTTATGGAGGTTTGGTATATTTAGGTTGACATGATTAGGGTATCTGTAAAAAGAGGGTTATGGAGGTTTGGTATATTTAGGTTGAAATGATTAGGGTATCTGTAAAAAGAGGGTTATGGAGGTTTAGTACATTAGTTTGACATGATTAGGGTATCTGTAAAAAGAGGGTTATGGAGGTTTGGTATCTGTAAAAAGAGGGTTATGGAGGTTTGGTATATTTAGTTTGACATGTTTAGGGTATCTGTAAAAAGAGGGTTATGGAGGTTTGGTATCTGTAAAAAGAGGGTTATGAAGGTTTAGTACATTAGGTTGACATGTTTAGGGTATCTGTAAAAAGAGGGTTATGAAGGTTTAGTACATTAGGTTGACATGTTTAGGGTATTTGTAAAAAGAGGGTTATGGAGGTTTGGTATCTGTAAAAAGAGGGTTATGGAGGTTTGGTATCTGTAAAAAGAGGGTTATGGAGGTTTGGTATATTTAGGTTGACATGTTTGCTGTTTATAGACACTGGAGTGATGTTTCTTTAACTTTCTATAATTAACATGTAGGCTACTGAAGGCATGTGTCAACGATCCCAAAGCTTCAGTGTCCACTTTCTCAGCCCCCAATGTTAATAAGAGAACCTCGATCCAGAGATTTCAGGATTTCCTACAGAACTCCAGTGCAGAAGATTGTTTGCCTTTGGTGATGGTATTAAACCAATACTTTTAATATACTGACATTTGTAAAATCTGGATATCAAATCAGCTATCTTGTCATGGTCATGCAGATGTTTGCATTTTATTTATAAGATTGTTCAAACTCATACTACCATGTTTTTATCTCATCTGTATGAAGTTAGACTTCATTCAGACTTGTTGAACTGAAGAAAATTCTTTAAATAGTTTATATAAATTTTGTACAATCTAATATTCATGTGATACTGATAACACACTAATGATATGTTGAATAGATTTGTTTATTTCAGAAAGCTTTATATTTGACATGTAATTGTTGATACAGAATGAATTGGATCAGACAGAAGATGTGAGATTGCTGGGAGCCTTGTCCGAGTTGACATGTCAGTTGTATGAACTTGACACCAGCTTCATGACCTCTGTAATCCACCAACTCTGTGTTAACGGTATGCTGACCAGGATACTGGACATTCATACACAACATAGGTATGGATACATCACATTTAACTGACCATGTCTGTAGGATTAGTGACAGTAACTGCTAGATGTACAGTCCAAGGGAGATAATGTGTAGAACACAAAGAATGAGAACTTATAACATCATGATTACTAGTACTAAGCTTTTGAATTTGTATGATTGGTACGATAAACTTAACATTTTATTAACCAATGTGTTGATTTAAAGAAGCAAAATATGGTGTAACATATCTATAAAAACAGGATAATAATGTCATAATTGCGTCGCGGATCTACAGATATCAACATTGTAATAAGGTATTTATAACCTTAGTTCTAAAATAATGGTGATATAACTTTTTTTTTAATGTACGTTGTCATGCCAATTTTTTTACTGATCTTTCATGTTGAGGTACTTAATTGACTTAACATTGAGGAATTTATTGATGGGGACATGGGGTAATTTCACATTAGATAGCCAAGGTGGAGAGAACAAAGCTGACAATCTAAGTGATATGTTTTGATTCACTGTTCTCCCCTTTCAAGTTAAATTTGTCTGTAAGATGTCAATATGAAATATGACAGGTCAAATTCTCAATTCACTGGATCACTGCAATTATTATAATATTGTAGCTAAATAAAGTAAATTGTCAAATATATTGTCTCCAAATGTGAAATTCTGTAAGGAATCATAAATAAACCTTCTACTATGCTGCCGTCACTTGTTATCTCTGAAGGATCTCCACAATGTCTGCTGTTTTATAGATTGACATTAGCAAATAACTATCATTGCCACTCATAGAAAGATGTGATGAACTTCAGGTATGTATGTGAGGAATCCATATAAACATTAATTTTGATAAATAATCCACACAGAGGAACATTTAACCTTTAACCCGAATCTGTCAATGTTAGGTGAAGTCAATGTGTTGTAGTATGACCAGGACAACTAAGAGTATGGTATGTGGTTGTGTATTGGTAATGATAGGTGATATCAATGTATTGTAGTACGACTAGGACAACTAAAAGTATGGTAGGTGATTGTATATTGGTGATGTGTCAAGTGTTACATGAGAGCAGCAACCCTGTACATCCCTTACCAGCATGGACTTCAGACACAATGAACAACATACAGTGTAAGTATCTTTCAAACAATGTATGTTTATACCTATATAATCATTGTCATGGTTACTCCATCAATGTATTAATCTGTGTGATCCCTGTCAGGACTATTCTGTACTTACCAGCTCCTAGTATGACTCTTGTCTGGAATAGTTTTGACAGACATGATCATGTAGTAAGGGGACTTGTTTAATCCTTGTCCTTTGTTCAATGTAGGTTAGACATGTGTAGGACATCTGCTCAATCTTTTCTATTCCAATCAGGTTTCGGTGTAAAATTTGATATCATGACTTACATAAATGGGTTAATGAACTTTTTACATGGAGGTGTGTTCAGTAAAACAGTAAGATAAATCTGATACAAGGATAAGAATTCTACAAGGTTGTATAGATATTGAATTGATAGACTTTGATTTTCGAGGTACACTCATCATCACCTTTATTTGTTATTTGGTTTAATTTTTAGATAAAATTCAAGACCTACCAAGAATTATTTTGCAATTTTCTCTGAAGATGGAAACCAAGGATGTGTACCTGTTTCTGTTGTATCATGCTTTCAACAATGATGAAATGTATGAAAACTATATTATTTCATAACAGACAAACTGATAAAGTAGAATGTCTAATGGCAATTCAATCATGTTCATGGACATAAGTGTTACATATCTGATAATCAACCATCAAGAATAAGGAGATATCAACATTTCTGAAAGCTTAACTTACTTTCAAAGTTTTGAATTAAGTCTAAAAAAAATAATAATAAATATGTGGTTGGTAAAGGGATTTCAATTCTTATAATTACATTACTCATGGTAATTTTTGTTTGGCAGGATACTCTCAGGGTCAGACTTGCAAATTGTTCTGGACGACTTTTGCACCACTAAAATAGGGTTAGAAGAGTTATCTCCCCTTACAAAAAAGCACTTCATTTTCCTCATGGCAGTAAGTACAAATAAAAGGTGAAATGTACTGGTAATATCTATAGTGTTCAAATGTTTACAATTTCAAGAATTATCTTTACATAATAATTTTTGAAATTAATTTACTTTAAATGGTTTAAATTTTGGCAGGTTTAAAATAAAGAGAATAAGTTTTTCATAGAGATTATAAAATAGACAGTAGTTTTCTCTGTAATAATAATTATATGGTATCTCTTTCTTGGATTTATACTGTTCAGGAAAGCAGTAAAAATAGAAATCCTCCAAAGTGACTTTTACAGTAGTTCAGTCACTTACTTTTGCATTACAGTAACTTTATGAATGAGAGTAAAAAAAACTTTAATATATTCTCATGTCAAATACAAATATTGTACTAATCATTGCCATTCTACATCACAGATGGCTTTCTGTCTGAATAGGGATGCCCAAAGTGAACAGGAAGAGAAATGTAAATCATTTTGGGTTTTTCTTTATCTGTTGAAAGTTTTAGTACACTGTTACATTATTGTTCCTTAACAATTTTTGTTACACTGTTTCTGAGCAGTTTTCAGATTTTGTTACACTGTTTCTGAGCAGTTTTCAGATTTTGTTATACTGTTTCTGAGCAGTTTTCAGATTTTGTTACACTGTTTGTGAGCAGTTTTCAGATTTTGTTACACTGTTTCTGAGCAGTTTTTTTATTCCATTGTTCCTTTTCAGGTTTTGTTACACGGTTCCTGAACAATTGTTTTGTAATGTTGTTCCTTTTCAGGTTTTGTACATTGTTCCTGAGCAGTTTTTTTGTTACATTGTTCTTTTTCAGGTTTTGTTACACTGTTCCTGAGCAGTTTTCAGGTTTTGTTACACTGTTTCTGAGCAGTTTTCAGATTTTGTTACACTGTTTTTGAGCAGTGTTCAGGTTTTGTTACACTGTTTCTGAGCAGTTTTCAGATTTCGTTACACTGTTTCTGAGCAGTTTTCAGATTTTGTTACACTGTTTCTGAGCAGTTTTCAGATTTTGTTACACTGTTTCTGAGCAGTTTTCAGATTTTGTTACACTGTTTCTGAGCAGTTTTCAGATTTTGTTACACTGTTTGTGAGCAGTTTTCAGATTTTGTTACACTGTTTGTGAGCAGTTTTCAGATTTTGTTACACTGTTTCTGAGCAGTTTTCAGATTTTGTTACACTGTTTCTGAGCAGTTTTGTTACAATGTTTTTGAGCAGTTTTCAGGTTTTGTTACACTGTTTCTGAGCAGTTTTCAGGTTTTGTTACACTGTTTCTGAGCAGTTTTCAGATTTTGTTACACTGTTTCTGAGCAGTTTTCAGATTTTGTTACACTGTTTCTGAGCAGTTTTCAGATTTTGTTACACTATTTCTGAGCAGTTTTCAGATTTTGTTATACTGTTTCTGAGCAGTTTTCAGATTTTGTTACACTATTTCTGAGCAGTTTTCAGGTTTTGTTACACTGTTTTTGAGCAGTTTTCAGATTTTGTTACACTGTTTTTGAGCAGTTTTCAGATTTTGTTACACTATTTCTGAGCAGTTTTCAGATTTTGTTATACTGTTTCTGAGCAGTTTTCAGGCTTTGTTACAGTTTCTGAGCAGTTTTCAGATTTTGTTACACTGTTTGTGAGCAGTTTTCAGATTTTGTTACACTGTTTCTGAGCAGTTTTCAGATTTTGTTACACTGTTTGTGAGCAGTTTTCAGATTTTGTTACACTATTTCTGAGCAGTTTTCAGATTTTGTTACACTGTTTCTGAGCAGTTTTCAGATTTTGTTACACTGTTTGTGAGCAGTTTTCAGATTTTGTTACACTGTTTCTGAGCAGTTTTCAGATTTTGTTACACTGTTTCTGAGCAGTTTTCAGATTTTGTTACACTGTTTCTGAGCAGTTTTCAGATTTTGTTACACTATTTCTGAGCAGTTTTCAGGCTTTGTTACATTGTTTCTGAGCAGTTTTCAGATTTTGTTATACTGTTTCTGAGCAGTTTTCAGGCTTTGTTACATTGTTTCTGAGCAGTTTTCAGATTTTGTTACACTGTTTGTGAGCAGTTTTCAGATTTTGTTACATTGTTTCTGAGCAGTTTTCAGATTTTGTTACACTGTTTCTGAGCAGTTTTCAGATTTTGTTACACTATTTCTGAGCAGTTTTCAGGCTTTGTTACACTGTTTCTGAGCAGTTTTCAGATTTTGTTACACTGTTTCTGAGCAGTTTTCAGATTTTGTTACACTGTTTCTGAGCAGTTTTCAGATTTTGTTACACTGTTTCTGAGCAGTTTTCAGATTTTGTTACACTGTTTCTGAGCAGTTTTCAGGCTTTGTTACACTGTTTCTGAGCAGTTTTCAGATTTTGTTACACTGTTTCTGAGCAGTTTTCAGATTTTGTTACACTGTTACTGAGCAGTTTTCAGATTTTGTTACACTGTTACTGAGCAGTTTTCAGATTTTGTTACACTGTTTCTGAGCCGTTCTCATGTTTTGTTACACTGTTTCTGAGCAGTTTTCAGGTGTTATTACACTGTTTTTGAGCAGTTGTTTTGTTACAATGTTTCTTTTTAGTTGTGTTGTTACACTGTTCCTGAGCAGTTTTTCTTTGTTGTAAAATATAACTTAATCAATAGACATGGCAATCTAGCACAAACAGACACTTACATGTTTGATGATACACAAAATTATTTAAGGCTTGGAAAAGATATACTTACAATGCTGAAAGATAAATCTGCTCAATTTGAACCTTTTGAAAACAGGTCAGTATGTTGATTTTCTTGGATGACCATGAATGTTGGCGTTTGTGATCTTTCAGAACTCCTAGGCATGGAGGCTGGGAAACCCTTATGACTCGAGGGTTTCATGCCTGCCTAGTCCAGTAGCTTACCAATCATCTGCTCTGAGACTTCACCTCTTTGGTTACATTTTTAATTCTACAGAAGTAAGAGTAGTGGCACATTATATGTTATACAATCTTTTCTAGGTTAAGGTTCTTTACTACTTCAGTATATATAAGGCCATGTGACAAATTATGAGCCCTTTTTTTCTCATTCGGTGGATTTGAATTATATATAATTACCTTTCTTGTATTCACAGTTATCACTAGCTTGTCCAAGTTTCTGACAGAGTGCCCAGTAGAGAAATGGTATACCCACCATCTGGCCATCCTACGTTGGTCTTGCCAACACCAGCAGCTACAAAAGACTTGTGCATATAAAGTTGTGAGTAAAATGATATACAAATAGGTTAATATCACAAACAGTGTGTTTAATGTAGATTATATAACAAAATATTGATTGTCAGACACAAAGTTGTCAGTATAAAACACAAAATTTTGAGTATAACAAACAAATGAAAGTGATGAGTATAACTTTGAATTTATTTATTTTGATTTAATTTGTGGGTTTTTGTATCTACTATGACAGCTTTTCAGCAGACCAGAAAAAATAGGAGAGTGAAATAGGGAGAGTGAGTGACACTGATAATATTGAATGTGGAATGAAATTAAAATAAGTCCATTAAAGAATTTCTGGATCCAGCTGGAATATGTTCAATACTATGTATAACACTGATTGTATTGGCAGGCTGAGGCGTGGCTGATGCGTCTGTGTGGTCCCCAGGAGGACGGAGAGCCAGCAGGAACACAAGATTGGGTGAGAGACCACCCTGATGTCCAGGCCTTGCTGCAGCTGTGCAGGGAGAAGTATCTGATTGATGTACTCTTGGTGAGAATAGTCTTAGTCTGCAGTTTAAATAATGAAACAATACAATATTTCTTTGTCTTCCTACAGTTGAATAATTCATGCCAATATCTACTAAGGATCAAAGATGAAATTGTGCAGGACTTAAAATTTTCATCCATATTTTTTATTTTAGTTATTTATTGTAATCAGAATGCGAATAAATAATACAACACATCGGTATATTATAAATAGTTAAATTAATTATTTATACTTTAAGTTAACAAGACAAGAATCTCTTCATTTATTTCAATATGGTAATTTCATGATCTATATATTTCACCATCTAAAACTGTTCTCTTTTATCAACTTGTTACAGAGTCTATTTCTCACATCAAATGAGGCTGTTATCAGAGTTACACAGAACATACTTTGTAGTTTTACAGCAGAGGTAAAAACACAGATCCTAATCAAGTGGTTATATATGATCAGAATTCAACCATCAGTATAATTGTATCGTGATGTCATGAAGTGGCAATAAAATTTTGAGATACAGACCCAATATAGCAGCTTTAACATTTCATTAGCAACATGTTGTAATGGAGTGTATGAAAATGAATTAGATTAAATTTAATTTAATTAGTTTTCTGTTTCATTATGTTTATAAAGTTCCTTTTACTTTGCATTTTATTTCACAATGGCCTCAACAAAATCATGATTTTGTCGCTTGGATATGAAACAAAATTATGTAAAATCCTAATTATTCACATAACTACTATGCTGAGAGTATCATGCATTACAAAACCTTTGGTATGACCATATTTGTAATGACATCTATTGGAGCAGTGATTGACTGTAGGTTCCTTATGTTTGGATGATGATCAGGAATGGAGAGAAGAAATATTATCTTTTCAGATGAATATATCAGTCTAAAAATAGGTTTATCTCACAAATGTTTGCAAATATCTCTTAGATTCGCATCAACATACTTTTTTCCCCATTTTGTATAAAGACGTCTTACTAATTGTTCATTCCACCTTGCCAAAGACATGTACGTGCATATTAAAGGAAGACTTTTGATTAAATCTCTATGGGGGACTGGAAACTTGTGTAGGATCTATTTACCTTTCCATACGTATATGGATATTTTATTAAATCTGAACTAAATCTTCAAAGCATTATCATTTCAGTCATCAAATACTTTATCTATACGGTTTGTTTAATTGAAACAAAATGTACCTGAAACCAGTCATATTTAAAACACGATTTTTCTTTAAAAAACTTGCAATATCAACAGTATCATGTTAAAGTATGGAGTAATTTATATACCCCTGAGTAGGTAACTGATCCTGAGGAGAGAGCTGATTACCTGTTTTATCTTAGTGAACACACTGCTGACTGGCTACATCAGATATTCCTGGACAAGGGTCAACATGGTCAGTACGGAGCAGCCAGTCATTCCATAGTAACTAAAATAATCATATCATGGATTTAGTCATGAGATTTGAATTTACAATTTCTTCATCAAATTACCGATGTAAGATTGCATACCTTAGCCAGTTCTAGTTCTTATGAACATTTTAAGTATAAATTCTCCGTCATCTTACCTCCAACAGGTGTGCAAAGGTTTACAGTTTGTAAGCATTGAGATTGTCCTTTGAGATTCATCTGATTCTCTGTAAAGTTTGTAACAATTGTGCTTGATCCCAAAAAAGATTGGCCCGTTGTACAATTAGTAATCGTTGTGTTTGTCTCAACAGAGTCTGATCTGGTTTGACGTACAGTTTGTGACTAGTGTGATTGTCTACACAGAAACTGGTGTGATTGGATGTACATTTAGAGGCCAGTGTTACTGTCCCAACAGTTTGTAACCTGTATGATTGTCTACACAGAAACTGGTGTGATTGGATGTAAATTTAGAGGCCAGTGTTTCTGTCCCAACAGTTTGTAACCTGTATGATTGTCTACACAGAGACTGGTGTGGGTGGATGTACAATGATTGTCTGCACAGAAACTGGTGTGATTGGATGTACATTTAGAGGCCAGTGTTACTGTCCCAACAGTTTGTAACCTGTATGATTGTCTACACAGAAACTGGTGTGATTGGATGTAAATTTAGAGGCCAGTGTTTCTGTCCCAACAGTTTGTAACCTGTATGATTGTCTACACAGAGACTGGTGTGGGTGGATGTACAATGATTGTCTGCACAGAAACTGGTGTGATTGGATGTACATTTAGAGGCCAGTGTTACTGTCCCAACAGTTTGTAACCTGTATGATTGTCTACACAGAGACTGGTGTGGGTGGATGTACAGTTAGGGGCCAGTGTTACTGTCCCAACAGTTTGTGACTAGTGTGATTGTCTACACAGAAACTGGTGTGATTGGATGTACATTTAGAGGCCAGTGTTTCTGTCCCAACAGTTCGTAACATGTATGTTTGTCTACACAGAAACTGGTGTGGGTGGATGTACAATGATTGTCTGCACAGAAACTGGTGTGATTGGATGTACATTTAGAGGTCAGTGTTACTGTCCCAACAGTTTGTAATAGATATGAATGTCCCCACAGACACTGGTCTAGTAAGGTGCAAACTTGATGAATGTGATTATACCTACAGAGACTATACAGTTTTATCTATCTGTAATATAATATTGTGCCCAAAAAGCCAGCAGTTTGTGACTGTATTGTTTTCACTTGTAATATTGTGCCCACAGATGCTGGTCTTGAAGCATTATTGAGTCTTCATCTGTTCTGTAAACAACACACTCCTGACACTTCTGTTTCTACTTCAGACATCAAAATCCTCTACCATGGTTAGTTAGAGTCATCATAAGTTTCTTTCATTTGTTCTGCTGTGTAAAAGGCTATATATATATAGTACAATGCATTACCATATATAGGTATGATATGAAAGTAAATAAGCCAAACAGTTTTAATCACAGTAATACAAGTCAGACGAGGGTTTGTTCATCAGGAAATCTTCCACAGCAGGATTCTTGCAATGTAGAGTTATATTATTTCACATCTCTTTGACTTTTGTAAACATTTGGTGTTTCAAAATGCCTTTCTGCTGTTCAGCATGCAAGTTAAATAAAATATATAAATAGTGGTAAAGCAATATATTTTATATTTCATCAATTACTGTAAATGTGGAAATTTATACCTGGGTGAAATTTACACTTAACTCGACAAAGTTATTCAGCCATGTATTTAATTTCACTCATGTGTATGAATTTTTTATATAAAATATATGTCAAATATGCATTAGGTAATCGCAAAAAATAACCCATGCATGTACAGTTTGTCTGCTGAAATAAAAAAACAAGCCCAAGCAGAAATACCATGTTTACAGTAATATATATCCTACGATAAGGTGTAGCTGTAGCACTGACAACCAAAGTGATGATTAAGGTAATACTGTATTTTCTCTCTTTCCAGTTACCAAGTTTTCTGCCTGTAACACCATCAAACCCATGTCACTTCTTCTAACCTGTTTCCAGTACATCCAGATCAGTGTCCAGGGGTCTGACACAGCATCCACACACAGAGGTACCTTAACATACGTTTTCTACCTTGAAATTTTCCAAAACATATCATTTAAGATTTTGATATTTGTATACTTTGTGTTCCTTTTAATAATTCACAGTTGTTTCAGTGTTCTTCAGTGTTTTGATCATGTTTAAAAACTGGACTTGATGTGGTTGACAATTTTTTTGTGCTTCACTCTTGTTTTATTGCTATTTCAGGGTTATCCTTGCTGACACAAAATGAAGACATGTTGGAAAGATTAGAGAATCTTTGTGCCAGCACAGATCCAGCACTTTCCTCAGCAGCCCTCAGCATTGTAGTAGAGATGGTACGCTACACTTCCGGCCTACCACAACATCAGGTATCTTCACGGATATAAAAAAGCACCATTTTCCTACACTTAATGTACATGATTTTCTTGTCACTGTGTGAAGGCTTTTACATGCTTTGTCCTGTATTATTACAGTGTACCAGGCCCATCAAGATTGATTTGTTACCAATCAGCCAGTACCTGAACACAGACCATCCTACTCTCCTACTTGCCAGACTGGACCTTCTAAGCACCTTGTTCCAGCATCAGTTTAACAGCAGAATGCTGACACTTGCCCACACCCAGCGCTACCCACCACACCCAGCATGTCCCTTCACTTCCTCAGAGATTCGTGAGGTCTACCTTTATCTGCAGCAGTTGGTGTTACAGGTCAGGGTTCAATATGTAAAGGATCAATAAAATGGTAATGTAATGTCTAAACCAAGATCAACATTTCCTTAAAAGCTGAACATTAACTTCTCATTAAACATGATTTACATGTATTAATGAATCCTAATATGGTTTCCCCCATGTAATATTAACATATATATATATGATTGTGTGTCTTTCTTTTAAACAGCAGGGCATGGAAAATAATATCACATTTTGCATTATCTTGTTGTAAATTTAAAGTTAATTACAGATACATCTGTATCTATCAATTCGAAAAAAAAGAAAGATCCTTGGTCAGACAGGGTAAAATTTATTAAAGCTATTGTTGTTCAAATTCAACATGATGAAATTGTAATATTAGAAGTAACAGGCACATTCAAGATGCTACTATGCTGATGGTCACTACTGTATTGCTGTATTGTTGTACCTAATATACCCATCCTTCTGTCCTCAATCTATTGTAGGAGATGCTACAGGCAAAGACTTGTTCTGTCCAGTGTATACAGTCCCTCTTTTGTTACCTTCACACTGTTGATCCTCGTCTTGGTGAGCTGATACAGCTTGTAATGGCTTTCAATGATTGGAGAAAATAACAGGGACATTTTAAATACAATTTCTTATTAATTTTAGTTCAGTATCCCTATCCAGCACTGAGAAAATAGCACAAATGATTCCAAGGGTCATAACTCAAAAAAAAAAAAAAAAATGAATAGGATCAAACATGATTTATTTGCATCTTCTCATCTTACAACTATGTACAAAATTTCAGGCTAATATTTATAAAAAATATATTATAAAAAAAATATAATTAAAAGAAATATTATAAAAAAATCAAATCTTTCATTCAATCTAGGTTATGTAGTGATTATCATATATACCAATTCACTAGCAGAGTACGGTTTTTGGCAACTTCAGAACGACATCTTAAAACTCACCCATGGAACTGTTTGATGTTGGAAGTAGTGCTACAGACGTACATCGCTGGTGATGAGGAAAGTGTGTATTGTACAATATTGCTGATACAGCAGGTCAGTGTACAAGCGCGTAGTGAACATTGAAATTTTCACTGGCATTGTAATGGACTTGTGGTAAACTAGACAAGGAATCTGACTGCAACATTGGTATGTAGTTTGTTTTAATGAAGCACTTTCACCAGTGCAAATATATACTTGTATTCCCAAAATAGTATGCAAATGAACTCTGATGGATGTTGAAATGCATTGCACTGAAATTAGGTCACTGCAACTGTGGACATGAAAATTAAAAATTTTCGGTTCAATCATCACAATTTCTTGTAACTGTGAGAATGAACAAAATGTATATAACATATTTTGTGTAAACAGCAAATTGAGTTGTGCAATCAGCAGATAATCGCATAAATATATGTAGCAAATCACATAACAATACATTCTAGATGCCTGATCTTGACTTATTTGATGTCAGCCTGTGAATCATAACTGCTAACCTTCAAAAAGCTGTTATTGAATTTACAATTTACAAGAAGCCCATGGGCCTTAACGGTCACCTGAGGTCTTGAAGTCTTTGGACAGTTTTAGAACCTGTCCATCAGTCTCAGCATTGGGGCAGACAGAACAGAATTGATACTGGTGTATGCAAACTTAAGACTTTGTTTCAGGTGACCTAAAAATCATTTCAGTCATATATTTTCCTTTTATAAAATGAATTTACATTCTTTTCCTATTCATGCTCATCCAACTTCTAAAATATAGCAAAAATTGTTACGGATTTTTTGTTCACCAGAGTTCATATGTCAAAATTTTCAGGTGTTGTGTGAGCAGGATCCATCTTCGCAGCTGGTGACTGGCCAGGGGCCATCTACACAAGCAGTGTCTGGTCTAGGAATGTCCCCTCAGCTATTGTCTCTTCTCTTGGACTTTCTACTAAAACAGGATATGCCAAACCACTCCCAGTCCATCATGCATGGACTACACAACCTCACTAAAAAGGTTCATGATTGAAAGATTACGCTATTGATATCAAACATGTTAGTAGCGATGAACTGTTTTTCATTTTCTTGTTCAAGGAGTTAAATTTATATTCTTTAATGTGAATAAAATTTCATTATCACATTTTCAGTGAAATGATCACAGAAATACAAGCACATTTAATGCATGTTTAATTCATACTGTCAATCATGACAGCATGATGAATTAAGTTCCATATGTTATATGAAACTATTTTTTCTTTCATTTACATTTCTAACTTCAAAGGTGATGAAAATTCTTCCTGGAGATTTGCTTTCCAAACACAGGGAAGTTCTAACAGCACTGCTTCAGGGTGAAGACCAAACACCAATTTCAACCTCACCAACAAGCTAGGCTACAGCTTTGAACTTTTAATGTACTGACCCTGAAGAACCATTATATCAGATTCAACTACACCTCAAGATATTGATTAGAGGTAGTAGCAAGATGAAAACAACATGAGAATCTCATTTTATGCAGTTGTGGAGATCAAATGGACAAACCAACAGGACTTGATGTTCCTCTGTCAGGTAGAAGATGATCAACACCAGGAGACTAGATAAAGATTCAGTCAGAATTCTCACTGCAAAATTTGTAATTGAATTTCAAATAACAAATAAAATTACAAAACTTCCATCGTCTTTTCTCCTTTCCCACAGGTAACTTCGACATCCGAATTGTTTTCTATTTGAAGGCATTTGCAAATACTTGGATACCTCAGCTGTATAAATTACAGGTCCTTTTTAATCAGAATTAATAGAAACAAGAGGCCCACAGGCCTTCAGGGTCATCTGACTCTGAACCTATATATGAAAGAGGCCTACACTACAGCCTATATTCAGTAGACATTTTCTGCAATTTTGAAATTATATTCTTCATATGCACTACACAAATGCGATTACTCGTGACACATTTCTTGTGAAAAAACATGTTACAAGCCAAATATCAAGCCCCCTGGCCTTTTGGTTATTGATAAGTTGCTTATGCATTTCAACACTTTGACCTCTAAGACTTTGACAGTAGGTCAAGGTGAACAAACTTTGTAGCTCTTCATCCTAGCATGCTACAGGCCCAATATCAGCTCCCTGGGATTTTTTGGTTCTTGAGAAGTTTAAAGAGTATGACATATTTGACCCCTGTGACCTTGAAAAATGGTCAAGTTCATTGATATTAACAAACTTGATAGCCCTTTATCCAATCATGCCACAGGTCCCAATATCAGAAATCTGGGCCGTTTGATTATTGAGAAGTCATTTGAATGGAAAGTTTATGTACAGTGGACGACGATGGACGAAACAAGATGGCTATAGGTCATTCTGATCCTTCGAGTCAGATGACCAAATAAACTTATTCAGGACCTTTTTCTTAACATGATTGTCTAATATATCTAGCAACACAAGAAGGGAAATATTAGCAGTTTGAAATGGATTTCCTAGTTGGCTGCCATGGTGTTTATTGTTCTACATATGCAGCTAACCGGCTCCAGGTTGTCTTGCATCATCATGAAGTTCAAACAAATTTCTAATAGGAATATTTTTTCGGACGGTGCACAAAATGTTTCCAGCATTGAAAAAGTACATTATCTGATGTAGTCCACTTCTGGGAAATTAGACAAACATGATCTTAGAGCCGACAGCAAAATTGATGACAAAGCCCAAACATGTTACTGTTGATGATTTTATTATTGATTTGAGTGTTCATATCACAACTCATCCCTCAATTACCCATACAGGCATGGGAAAGGAGAGATAAACAACTCTTGCGTATGTTCAAAACACTTGATTTTCATATGGTAAGCTTTGCCATGGTGATGTTTCATTATATTACAATAGAAAATATATTTACAAGTAATTCCAAGGGGGAAATAATCAAAAATCGACCACAAACACTTTTTTAACACACTTCAGTATAAGCACCATTCTCATTGAAGTGTCTTCAAATAAAAACTCTTGATACATAAATAAAACCATATATACATTGTATACAAATAATTTCAAACATGCTTCTCACTTTCTCACTTTACACAGACTTTTAAGTGGCATCGCTATAATTAACAACAGTAACTGCCATGTTGTGTTACTGATATCATCTTGGTTTACAGTTCTGTACACTGGGAAGGAACTGAAAATCACGGATATTGTTGATTTTCACTAGAATAGATGTGGTATTGCATAATGTTATAAATTAATCATTTATCATCTGATTAAGCTCCTCCACCCCTACAAGTAATGTTATGACTTTCTCACTTAAGTCCTCACAGACCATTAGGAATGGTGACATGATTAAAACTGATTGTATATAATCTACCCTGCAAATCACAAAATAATGAAAAAATCATCTGACTTGGTAAAAATTAAATCTGTTTAGAAGAGCATGCATAAATAATTTTAGACATCTAAAAGAATTGATGCAGATGTTCATATATATGTTTTAAACAAACATGTTACTATTATCTTGTACTAAAATGATAGCAGCCCTTATGATCAGTATTAAGTTTACATGAGGTTATATCTTTTAAGGATGATGTATACAAGATAAATGATGTGTAATATGGTGACAACTGGGACAGTTTTTTTTTAAATTTTAATCTTAAACTTGTTTGAGACAACTTGGACATAACCTTTATGTTGGCTGAAGTATTAGACTAGAACCATCTATGTTCTAATACATTGCAAGAATTGAGCAAAGAATAAACACACAAATACAAACGGTAAAGGCCTGTTGTAAAGAAGTTGATGAGATATAACAGATCCACCACTCTCCTCAATTCCTTCTCACATCAAAATCATAGTGTCAGAAGTAACAAAGACTAGACTTGAGTAGGAATGAAAAGCTCTACCTTCATTATCATCTATAGTGTTAGCTGGTCAACAGGAAAAGCATGTTTCAAGCTACCTATACTTGTGGATACAATGTTCATAGATTACAATGTTCATTGTATATAAGATCACAGTAATCGTAAGATTACAATGTTCATTGTATATAAGATCATAGTAATCGTAAGATTACAATGTTCATTGTATATAAGATCACAGTAATCGTAAGATTACAATGTTCATTGTATATAAGATCACAGTAATCATAAGATAGTCATGATCACAGTTGTGGTACATTCGACGTTTTTAAAATTTTGCTTTATTTCAGGTTTTAATAGCTTGTAAGCATTAAATTTCAACAACGTGAAATAAAGTCAGTTCTGTTTATATAAGTAGTGAAATTTCACCACAACAAAGGAAAGACTTGTACAACTAGAACACAACTTGGACAAGATTCTGAACATTGAATGCACAGTAATTCATTTCATAAAAAATCAGGTAAGAACTTTTACATTTGGCTTATCCTCCTTTTTTCTTCTTTTTCTCAATTTCCTTCTAAACAACATACTTTGGGAATATTTGTTCTCACTATCACAAAAATTTGAATTGTATGCCAAAAAATTCAGTTAATGCTACACCACAAAATAAAGATATTCCATTTGCTTTCTAAACAAATGCTGGCCTACATCATTAGGATATTTTTGCAAGGCTATGATATGCTGACTAAAATCTGATATAATATTGTTTGTGAAACAGGCATATTCCTAAAATCTAATGATCAAAACTCTTAGTGAAAACATTAAACAAAGACCTTGATGGTATGTGTTCACTTCAAAGGCGAAACTGAATGCTCCATTTGGCCCTGTTAATTGATTTTCAGGAAAATTTCTTTTATACAAAGGCAGCATTTCGTGTAATGCTTAAAATATAAATGCTATGAGAGAAATTTAGTGCACATAATATACAAAAACATTCCTTTGATGAAAATTCATACATTTATTTTAAAAAGAAATGAATTAAACCATCAGTGAACAATTTCAAGGAAATAAAATGAAAATTATTATGCTAAACTTTCTGGAAATTATACAAAGTGAAGCACATAGGTGATGAAAACCATTCCTTCTTTGGTCATTGACTAGATTATGACAATCCATGACTTGGTTGGTTTATCACGGGTAAATACCAAGACTGTAGGCAACTTACTTGATTTAAGATAAAAAAAAAAAAGAATCGCATCAATTCAGGTTTAGTCTTGTGGCCTATTATTCCTCAAACAGACATTACTTCCACAAAACATTACAACAATGATATCTGTAACATACCATTATTTTGACATTTGAAAACTTGAAGGTTCTGATTACCATTTTATCAAGACTTCTCAGGTTCAAGAATGGTGCTGGGGATATGTTGTATTGTAGTTTTATTTATTTGTAATACTAAAACGTATTTCTTAGTTTGCCTTGTAATACTTTTGTAAATGTTAATACATGTACAGCAAATGAAGATGACTTTGGTGTATCACAATACAATATTGCATTAGATGACCACGTGTTATTTATTTCATTCACTATTCGTAATTTCAACACTCAAATTTACTCAACATAATAATTTCAAACATAAATCAACTTTAATATTTTTTTAAGCATGAATTTATTTGAAACATTTGTTTTAAATAATGAGCTATAATAACATTAGGGTTCAAATCAATGTGATACAGAAACACTCTTTTGGGTCAATTCATTGCATTGCAACACATGAGGTCCCTTTCCTTCAATATGCACTACTATGAATTCATTAACTGCCATGGTACAAAGAAATCTGTTTCAGTATGTACTTTTGCTTAAATAATTCAATGCAAGTAATTTTCTCCTTAAATCCTTAAATATCTATCACAGGTAATTCAATTATAATTTTGGTACAATACTCTATTATTGAACAATGGGAACCTCTTGTAGTGTTCTATACAGCCTTGGAAGCCTTGTCTATGAGCCGGTCAAGTCACTATCATGGGGGACATCCAGACATACTATAGTTGTCTTAGTATCACAATAGTCAGGCATGTCTGTCCCTTTCCTGTCAATCCATTCCAGCACTGTCACAATGCCTTTGTTAGATATGTTCTAAAGGTCACGGCCTTCGTCAACTTTTCACCTGTTTCTGTATGTGCTGTAGAAACTCGTAGTAAGACATTGTGGATTCTGTTCTATCCTCAATCAGATATCCAAAGAATGTCAGGCGGTTTTTACTTTCCTCTCTGCAAAGGAAATATTAATGCTTATGATTATTTCTCTTCTCAAACTAAATACACTTTTAATTCTATGGATTTTTGAAACATCCAAATATTTTATTGAATGATTATAAGGTTAAAATTAAAACTGACATAAAAAAAAAATCTTTTATTATTTTTTTTATCAATACTCTGTCCAAATCACTTTATAATCAAAAATATAATTGCTTATCAGGATTATTAACACTTCTAATTACATTTCAACTTACTTTATGACTAAGAAGCAACAGCCTCCAGGTCTATTGTCCATTAAGAAGCTGACAAAGTTACGAAGCTTTTCTGATACAGGATTATCTAATTCAGGTAAATCGATCTGTAAACAAGATAAAAAATATTACAAGTTATTCCTTCTAATTGATCAGACATATATACCAAGGTAATGTGATATTACTTCCAATTCAATCAGACTTGTATATCAGTTATTCCTTTCATAATGAAGTTTTCATATTATTTGTTTTAGGAACCTTTTCTAAAGTATGGATGAAATATTCATAAGAAATCCTAATACCTGTGATGGTATTTATCACTGAAAATTCTCCAATGAACAAAAGTACGTTACAGAAAAGCTGTTCTTCCTCTTTGACAGTAAATCTTGGATCTATTTAAAACAAATATATTTCATGCTTAACTAATGATACCTAAATCCCATATTTACAAAACCTCTGTTACTAAGGCATACATACCAGACCATCTGTGATAGACTGGTAATTTGGTACATTAAACACATCCTGGCAGTACTGGTTGTTGATGGCACTGCCCACGTACAAGTATATTACATCATACGCATCCAACAGGTAAACACCCTGTCGGTCAACGTTGGCAGAGGACAGGTGTAAACGCACTGGATTTGCTATCTCTTCCTCATCATGGTCCTCTACAGGCTGTAGGGAGGCAAGCAAAACGATTTCATAAGAACTTTAATTTTCTATTTCAAAAAAGGAATAAACTGCATGAAAATAGCAACAATCATCAGTATGAATGGACACATTAAAGTTACATTTTTCAGGACATTGTGCTTATATCTGAGAAAAACATTGAATACTTACACATCCCTCAATGTTGTGTACAGGGTACAAGTCAGGATAAATCGTCTGAAGCAGGTATTGCACAGGAAGGCTCTTACACTGTTGCATGGCAAACACACGGTCATCCAATCGGGTGTTGACACCATGGCGGAAAGCAGTCTAAAATGAGATAGATGTACTTTGTTAAGTATAAATGTCTGCATTAATTCTATATAAAACTTACATATTACATAAACATAAAAATTTATTCAAAATATCCCAGCTTTTGTTATCCTGTTTCTTTCTTGTCCTGCTTTTCATATCTTTCAAGTTCAACCACCCAAAAAACTTCCAAGTTAATCTTGCGATACTCGAGCCCCAAAGTGACCTCACACTTTTATCTCTGACCTATGATGAAATTGACAGGGTTACTTTTCAACAAAGAGAAACAAGTGAGTTTTCTTCTCTGTTTATCCAATATCAATCAGTATCCTACTTTGTAGTTCAAAAACACGTGTTCTTAAAATCAAGAGTTCATCATTTCATGACAGGGAACAAGATGGACAAATATGATTTTCCTCTAAGAGAGTTTCTTTTTAATCACTCTATGACTTTACCTTCAACCCATGACATAAAATTAATATATATACCATCAATGCTTGAAATTTACTTACAGCCGTACATTTTTGACTAACCAAGCATTCCTCCATGATATACAAAAAAGACAGGTGGAATTAATTCATCACATACTATTTCAAATGACTTACACTTTTGAGCAGGGCAAGGACTAGAGCGGGGAGCAATCTGATGGAAAATGATGTGGGTAGACAGCCTAATCTCTGTGAGGCAGGAAGAGTACTTCCAAATGAGGACAGGGAGTCGATAGCAGCATTGATTAATGCTTCTCGTGCATCTGACATGCTGGATGTGACACTTCGATCGGCACCTTCAAAGTAGAAGTAGGAAACATCTATGTCATGAATTTACATACACACAAGGAGATATTAAAACTTGAAATTCAGATTTAACTACATTCCATGTAACAAATTCATTTAGGAAAATTAATTTGGGATTCAGCATGAATAAGCTCCACTTACCCATCTTAGCTAAGAGGCTAACAATGGCCTTCTGATCAGCTCCTGCTATAACTTCACTGATTTGGTTTGTCACAGGTAGGCACATAGTGTGAACACGTATCCTCCTCTCACCTTTACAAACAAACAAGTACTATTTATTCAGGCATCAAAATACATTTAAACAACTTCAATGTTAAAACCCCGCTGTTTTTATCATGAATACTTATATTTGCCTTTCCTCCACCTCGCTGATTTACAGGTGATATGATGAACAAGAATTATATGCAGGTAAATGTCTTTCATGTCCCAACTTCTCCATATCACCAGGATTGAGATATAAAAGCAATGAGAAATTCAGCTATGTAGGGCTAAACGATACATTTTAACATGGAGTAATTTTACAAGACAAGATGGTAAATCACAGTCCCCTACCAACACAAAGCAACCTTTACCAGAAGTGTAGAGGAGAGCAGTCTGGATATTCACCTTTACTAGAAGTGTAGAGGAGGGCAGTCTGGGTATTTACCTTTACTAGAAGTGTAGAGGAGGGCAGTCTGGGTATTTACCTTTACTAGAAGTGTAGAGGAGGGCAGTCTGGGTATCTACCTTTACTAGAAGTGTAGAGGAGGGCAGTCTGGGTATCTACCTTTACTAGAAGTGTAGAGGAGGGCAGTCTGGGTATTTACCTTTACTAGAAGTGTAGAGGAGGGCAGTCTGGATATTTACCTTTACTAGAAGTGTAGAGGAGGGCAGTCTGGATATTTACCTTTACTAGAAGTGCAGAGGAGTGCAGTCTGGATATTTACCTTTACTAGAAGTGCAGAGGAGGGCAGTCTGGGCATTTACCTTTACTAGAAGTGTAGAGGAGGGCAGTGTGGATATTTACCTTTACTAGAAGTGCAGAGGAGGGCAGTCTGGGTATTTACCTTTACTAGATGTGTAGAGGAGAGCCGTCTGGGTATTTACCTTTACTAGAAGTGTAGAGGAGGGCAGTGTGGATATTCACCTTTACTAGAAGTGTACAGGAGGGCAGTGTGGATATTTACCTTTACTAGAAGTGTACAGGAGGGCAGTCTGGATATTTACCTTTACTAGAAGTGTACAGGAGGGCAGCCTGGAAGCAAGCTGTGCTGGCTTCGGTGAGAGAGTCCTCTATTGACATCTGCATACCAAACCCAGCATCAGGGTTGATGTTTGGTAGAGATAACAAGTCAGTTGAGCGGACAAAGAAGTTGCCATGGAAAGTATGTATACTTAGTCCTGAAGTTTACAAGAAAATACCATGTAAATATGCTTGTATAAAAATTTGGAAAATCAATCATTTACAAACTTGTATTACTGCATACCACAATCAAGCATAACATTATAAGGAAAAGATGGGGAAAAATAAAGCTCCAGTAACGAAGGCAAAAACAAAGAAATAAAAAATATGTTTTTCAAAATAGTGATTTGATAGCAATGTGTAATTACCTTTAGTACAACGTATCCTCATGACTGCTTCAAATCCAATCTTTCTGGTGAAATACCTGCGCAGATCCTCTTCAAATTTATCTGCTAATGATTTATTCTTCACGGCATGAAAGGATGGATAGTACTCCACTGATCCTCCGGAGTATTTGGATATACACGCTGGAACACAGAGCAAATATTATCAACAATGTTTCAATCATCATAACAATATCAAACATAATGCATACTGGATTATTGTCACAAATTTTACTAATTTAGATGTTTCAAAATAGATAATACTCCTACCAACCTCAAAAACATCATAACTGCAAACATCACTAATCAATCCTTTCATCAAAGGTGTACAAAGCACCTGACTAATCTGTGTATACATCACAAGACTGATCCCTCCCTACATCAAAGCTGCATACATCACATGACTAATCTCTACCTACTGAACTATTAAAAGTTAATATGTGAGTTAAGTAAATTATTTAAAATTGTATTCAGTTAGACATATGTCAGATTTTAAATAATTTAAATGCCAGAATGAGACCAGCTAAATTTATTACCGACATCTATAGAACATTGGGCAATTATGTATTGACCAGTAGCCAGAGGCATACTGTTGTTACTTAATCTACTACACATGCCCATGTATTAATTCATTCTTCATTCCCTGATTATATATGTAATAACCTGAGCCCTATCTAGACAGTTCGCATGAAGGTCAGTGTTTATATATCTTGTGGAAAACAACCTAATCTATGACCATTCCCATGTAGAAGTCTCGGTCAACTACTCATGTAATACTCAATATTTGTTGGGCTGTTATCTAATGTGTGATATAACTTCACCAATAGTTCAATGACATTTTAGTATAAATACAAGCATAGATTTAACCAGTACGTATCAGTTCCTGAAGGCATGTGAACATTACGATTTCCACATAGCCTACACCACAATAGATATACAACAACCCGAACAGTATCAGGACTTCAACATTCCAGCACGTAACAAAGCATCTTTTTACTACTTCTACCCAAAAACTGATCAAACAAGGGCAACATTAGATATAAACCTACTGTACTGAGTCTTGATCTACTGGATAAATGTGACAGATGAGACAAAACCTGATGCACTGAATTACTTACAGACGGTGGCTAGGTCTGCATACTGGCCATTCATCATGAACAGGTCAACAGCAGTCTGCTGAGCTGAACAGTCCAGGGCTAACTTCTTATAAAAGTCAGTGGCTGGTCCCAGATTTGAAACATTCTAAAATGATAAAACATTCTCAGAATAATTCAGGCTGAAAAAAGAGAGTAGGGCTTCCAGAATATCTATCCCCTTACTCTAGTTTTTACATGAGTGATGTCAGGGACATATGTCATATGTTTTGTCTAGGCAAACTGCTGTCAGAATGAGAAGGATAGCTGTGGATCATTACGCTGCATTAAAATACTTCAGGTCAAGTTTCAAGACCAATTAGCAGTAGAAGCGAATGACATTTTTTACATGAGGCATACTGCTGGACTCTGTAATTCTATTCTTCTAAATCAGAATATGAGATGTCTATTTAACTTTGAACATATGGGTTTATACCTTGGTTGTTCTCTGATTTGTATCCTCCCTGGCCTGAAGGGCACCTGGCCCTACTGTAGGTAAAACTGTCTGCATTACTGTAACACGTCCACCATTTGATGCCTAAAATAACAGGTACAAACCACTTGAAGTAACAATACATGAAAAGTGCATACAACACAAATTTGGCATCAGAAAAAAATTAACAGTTCATGTATGGTTAATTTTCAAACAGTAAATGAGACAGTTGGACTGGCTGAACCTGAAAGAAAAAACAAAGATGCACATCGAGACAGAGACTGGCCAGTGGAACTTAAGGCACGGTAAGTTTGAGGTGGCCAACTGTACCTCTCTAAAACAAAATGGCCAAGTATAACTATATAGTAACTTTTCAGAAGTATCTGCATAATTTCCAGTATTGTATTAATATTTGGTACAAGTTAAAATACAACACATTTGATTACTTGTTTATAGTTATATATTTGACAGAAAATTGTAAACACCATGCATGTGGACTTTTATCTATCACATTTCCTTTCCCATATCCAGTACAGATATGTTGCTTTGTTGTGGAACAATAATTGTGTTTCACCTTGAATGTCAAACCAGCCAAATTTCTTTTTAACATTGTTAACTTTCAGGGAGGACTCACCATAAGTTTGTATGCAGCCTGGAGAGCTGGTCCCAAGGCACTGCCAGTTTCCATATTTCCCTCAAATAAATTAGGCAGCTGATTGAGCAGATCAATGACCAGTTCCTTACTTTCCTGTAAATTCACTAGAAGGTTGTCTGGACAGGGTAGAAACACATCTACAATACAAACAATATGGTAACATCATGGTTAAGCACCAATAAAACATATTACTTTGGGGAAAAAACATATTTGGTCCGGCATCACACTCCATTTTTTTCCCATAAATAAACTGATACACACATTTACACTTAATTTACTAGAATAGTAACTGAGGCCCAAGAGGCATTTTCTAAAAACAGCATGGACAAGATCACAAGTTTCGAAATACACAATTACAGTGATAAATATTTGCTTAATACCGATACTGATAAAATCAAGCATCTAATTTAAAAGCACATATGTCAGCTTAAATCTGCTATATCATTTCCAGGTTTAAGTTAACAATCATATCTATGATAGGGTAAGGAGAATTTTTCTGTCTTGGATAATGCAAAATGTTGATTTCAAGTACATAAAGTAACTTTTGATATCAAATTTCAACTCAAGAGAAAATGCTTCTATATCACATTATGATCATCAGTAACAGCAACCTTTCAATTTTAACACCAGTCTCCCAACGAGCTATATATATTTTTTTTAAAAATGAGACAGCGCAGAAAACTGATGCTACCTTTACTGTCATTTTAACATTTATATTGTTGTACAAACCTTCAAGGTCTGAGACAATAAGCATCTGTGGCTGTGACTGTCCTGCGGCCAGATTGAAGAAGTGGAGTGAGGCATCGTACACCAGGAACCCAACCTGTGTTCTGCTGTCTTTAGGAATCTTATCTAATTCATCCAAAAGGGTTTGGCAAAATATTCTCAAGTAACCTGCATTCAAATAGAGTTTGTTTAAACATGCCATTATCAGGTCAACAAATCATTCACACTTGAAAAAAAACCAAATACATGGTAACTTCAAAATTTAATGAGCAATGAGAATACATTTGCAACAAAATCAATATTTTTCAACACATCCACACATCAGCAGATTTAAAACAAAAACTTACAACTGACCTAAATCTTTAATCAGATTTACAGAGTAATCAAGACATACCTGTTTCTACTGCATTAAAAGACACATCTAATAGATACAAATACACTGCAGGCTGGGGTGGTCGTAACTGCAGAGAGAACATCACAAAATAAATTTTTTAACCTTGTAAATAGTTTGTTCTATACAATGCTTATAAGATTATATTTTGATCTTAAGTTTGAAAGCCCTCAATATATTCATATCAAAAACATACAGGAAATACTTCAGACACTGGAAATTAAATCTATGTTGACTAATATGAGAGTACTGTATGAGGAAAAGCATGTTGTGATTAGGGAAGATATGTGATGGTTATGGTAATAAGGAATTGGTAAAGTAGGGAGTTTTTTTCCATGAGCTAGGTGCACTTATGCATGTATGGTTACAGCAGATGTGCATGCCTAGGGAATCTGTCTGCAATGGATCTGTATATGTACATACATTGTCAGGCATTTTCCTTTCTAATCTGGATAATCCATGTCCATTTACCTATTCGTAAGTAAAATATTTAAAAATCACCCAAATTACCTACTTTTGGAGGAGTGTGTGAATAAATTTGAATTTTATGGATTTTAAAAACATGGAAACTTGTTCTACTCACCATATACTCTGATGGTGCAATAAATTCTATCGTAGCTGATTTGATCTCTGGTCTTCTCTGAGGATCTCCGTATGTTTTACTCACTGGATCAAACTGAAATTCATCTGGCACTGAAATGTGCAATTGAGAGTAAATCAATGAGATGACAACACATAATGGTTATACTGCTAGAATTCAACATTTCATAATCAAAGTGGCTAACTTATAAAAACATTTTGACGCATTTTATAACAGAATGTCAGATGTTAGAGCAAAAACTCCATATAATGGTGCTGGTGACCCAACACTGCCTTTCTGAGAAAACATACATAATTGAAACAGCAATTAGTACTTACAATCATTAATTCTATAACATAAATTACACTTCCAGCGCCTCTGGTCAACAAAGGACACAAAAGGGTTGATGTAGGTCCTACATGATCGACATCGCACAATGACACTCGACTGTATAACAGGTAACTGCTGAAAATATATAAAAAGGACATACCTAAATAGTAAAATATAAAAAAAAATTGATGGACAACAAATTGATAACATTAAATTTAGCCAACCTGCATGAGTCTAATACATTAATGATAATTATAGCTCTGGGTCAACTAGGTTCTGTATTTGCTTACTCATATAAGTACACAATAAACTTGCCAAGTTATCATATCTTCAGCCAAATTTTGAAAGTTAATTCTGACATTAAGTTGATCACTTAAAAAAGATAGTTTATAAAACCACATTAAAATATACTTTGAATAAGTACTTTGTTTTGAATTTTAAAATAATCAACCTATAAGAAAAAACAAACCAGCATAAAAAAAAACAATGCAAAATGTGTGAAATTAAAAAAAATCCATAAAAACTATAATTTAGCTATGAATATACATGAACTTGCGAATGACTGAAATTTGAGGGAGGACATTTATTGGGAAAAGGGGATCACTTGACATTGTGGTTTGTATACTCTGAAATAAAATACATGTGACTACAAAGGATCCAGTACATAGCATCCATTACCAAAATGTTCATACCACGGAACACATCATATAAATACTGAACAAAAACTGCTAAAATATTCTATCTTATGAACATTATAGATTCCCTCTCCACAGCAAGCAAGACAACACAATTCACCCACTAGCAAAATACATATTTGGAATACTGTATGTATCATTGTACTACTGTAGACAACTGGTGCAGGATTTCTTTAACTTCATATTTCTGGGTTTTTTTTTCTTACTTTGGAGAAAAATCATGTAATTATTGAATAAGTCTTCTTTTCATTACCAAGAAGAAGAATTCTGCTGTGAATTTAAAGTTGATCTATCAAAGAGGAACTCAAGTCAACGTAAATAAATATTTTACTTGTTTAGATACTTCAAACCAATAATAAATGCTATTCAGTGAAAATTAAACTAAAAATGGAAAATTGTTTGAAATGGATCTTTGATGACTGCAAACAACTAAATGTTCCAAGGAACACAGTGAAGTGAAGCTGTGTTGAATATCACCAATATTCTAAACTTTAGCTGTGACAAGATCTCACATAAACTGCCCAACGCATACAAAAATGTTATTCATTAATAAAACCATGACACACACCTTAACAAAATTAGATATCTAAATGTCAATTAATCAGAAGCCAGTCCTGCAGATAACACACAGTGGCCATTTTGTTCTATCGAAGAAAAGTTGTATATTTGTAGTGCCATAATGAACCTACATACCACATCTTATTGAAATCGCATAAGAAGAATAGGAGTAAAAAGACTATGCTCCAAACTTGTTTGCAGAACATAATGATATTTGAAAAAGACGAATCATTCAAGTAAATGAACATTTTTCCACAAAAAATATAACAAGCTCTGTATGTTTCTGTCAGGTATTTGAAACTAACATTACTCAATGAATTGGGACCTAAACAGTTTTCAATTGGAATCTAGTCATTTGTTCTGATGTGTGAAGTTCTTTTTGTTGTGCTTTCAAGTATTTTCAGTAGTTTAAGAGGCTGTACACAATGATGACATCAATGAAAAAACAGATAATATCCTGTTCATATATATAATTTCACTGTTGATACACCTTTTACAGTGAAAGAGTATTTCTAATGCCTATGAAATCAGACAGTCAAATCAAACACAACTTAACTTTCACTAACAATCATATTCTTATTCTAAAATCAAAACTGCATTTGCAAATTATAGCATTTTAAAATGTAAATATGAGATGATATATCAAATCCAGCACAGTCTGTACAGTAGACAGTGATACAGCCCATGCGTTTTAGACATTACTCGGAAAGAAATCAGAAGTCAAGTGAAAAATTCTTACTCCATTTTCGCCAAAATCATCGCAAATCTAAAAATAACAGGAGAGAAAAGTAGAATTTAATTGTTTACTTTCATAAAGTTCACATTGAACAAAACAAAGGACACTGCTTGGTAAATATTACACAGCAATCATCACAACCACAGAAATCTGGAGGCTATATAATCACGTCAAATCAAACAGTCTGTTTTGCTGCAGATAGCAATATAGCCTTGTGTAAAAGTCAAACGAAAAGTTTGTACCCAAGAAAATCTTCTCAAACCCAAAAGAGTAAGGGTTAATTAGTTCCGTGCACACGGTCTATGCAGTTAATGATGTTGCAGCATCCAACACATGTACGGGGAGTGACATCACAAATTCTTTAAAGCAATATGTACTATATACTGCAAAACTAACAAAACCAACCTGTTTGAAACAATAATTTTCAAGGAATTTTAGTGAGAGCAGTATTTAGAATCAGTACACTGTAAACAACTTCGATTTTGCAAATACTTAATTTTGCAAACTCACATCTGCAGACATATTTGCAAATTTTTTTATTTTTCTAACACTGGTTGAGAAATGATTTCAAACTTGCGAATGATAGCTATTAGAGAAATTGATTGCTCCTATTTTGCCAACCAATAGCTTCATATTTGCCGCCATTTTGCTTATGTGCAAAAAAACTGTCCATACTGAATTGTATTTACCAGTATAGGCCAGTATAGAGACAAAATGAAGAGTGAAGTGACTTCAAGGCGAGATGACAGCACTTCAACACCTCAGATGTATTGTGCAGTGTTAAATGTTATGCTTTGTGCATGTTTATACTAATTACACAGTAGATGTACAAACCGTAAAGTCTTTCAAAGTTTTCCTACTGTTTATTTTGTAATTTGATATAAAAAGGTATTTTGCATGTTATAAACTCTGTTATCGTAAATATTTCAGCACCTTTCCAACAAAAAGTTAGCAATGGGGATTTACAATCATATCTATAATGGCACATGTGCTCAACCTCTGACCTGTAGCTACACATTTGAATGAAGTGTTAAGTTGTATAGCCAGCAATACAAGAGTACTAAGTTCTAAAGCTGTTTAAATTTGTAGTAATATGTGTCTAGCAAAACACTTTGTGACAATATGATAAGGTTTATCTAAATTCAACAGAAGTGTAAATGGAGGTAAAATTAAGTAAGTTTACAATGGAATAACAAGGATGTCATCGAGAGATTCATTCAATTTTAATTCATGATTGGTTCTCCTTGCTAATTAACACGAAAAAAAATACCATGCGAAGTTGAAGTGATTTGCAGTCTTCATTTACATACCACCAAACATCAACTGTACAACTTACAAAAGTTGTGTCTAATCTTTGATACAGCCTAAGGATTTTAATGGGAGGTGTTTGGTGCTTATTACACATACTGTTTAATGTCTATGTAATCTATCATTTCTAAGGAAATCATACAGAAAGCTAAAACTAAGTAGACACCCTAGTTACCTAAATCATTTTAGTGACCATGCTTACCCAACAAAGCTTTTAGATAAGTAATAAAGCATGCATTATGCAACAAAATTCCCTGGACATATAATTAATATCCCATATAACACTGAAAGCAAACCCTCAAGTTGGTTTCATGACCTGTCTTCCGAGCAAATAAAATGATAGCTATTGTTTTTCAAAATAAATACTTACTGATAAATCTTTAAATGGGTGAATGAGGATGCCTAATGGTAGCCTAGACTTGTTCAACAATGATGACGACTGCGGAATCGATGTCAAGGTACAACGGAACACACTGAAAAATGACAAAATCAAAATATTCATATCATGAAAACACTAAAATGCATTATCAAAATTAAACAATTATAAAGAGTTATCAGGTAATTAAAACATCTTATTGTTTGTTTTCTAAATTACACTTCACTATGGGGTTCAAAATACACTCTTCACAGGAAATGTGAATAAATATTTCAACTTACACTTCAGACAAACATGATCCACGCCGTGTTTAAATTGTATAATGATACTTCATAAGCACCTACATGAATACTAGTTTGTTTTCATTTTGTTTACATGGGACTCGCCAGTATCAATTTCTAATGCTAAGTAGTGCAAATTTAAAATAAAGAGTCCCTTGGAACACAGTACTATTGGAGAGGTCAAAAAGTTCACTGCTCCATTGATAAATATGTTTTCTTTCATTATCATACCAAATAGATTAATGTTGTTTGATATTTTTTATTACTATTTAAAAAGCAAATAATGTAACAATGCCATCTGAAATTATGATTACCAGTAATTGAATTTCTATTGATCATTATCATATGTACTCTACATACTAATGACGAGAATAAACATCTATATAGAGCTGTACAAGTACTAAGCTAAGAATTATTTTTTGGTGAATGTGAACCTCTTGTTTTTCCCTCGTGAAAGCAGCACTACACAACACTTACTCAGGACTGCAATTAACTTTTTTATGGTCGTGTGGTAGCTTTGGTTTTGGCGTCTCTACTCCATTAGCTGGAATAAGTCTTTTCTCCTGAAGAAGATTCACAACCCTTCCTCCAGTGTCCTGAATAAAGTAAGCAAAACATCATTGTAGAATTTTCACTTTCTAGATTATCAATAACCATAGCTGAACAAGAAAAGGATCTACCCTTAGATCAATAAGAAAGCTGCAAGTCAAAGACAGGATGTGTGTTTGATTTTGATGACCACCAGTATATTCTTTTGATATAATTTACAAGAGAGTAAAAAAACTACAGTAATATGCATGTAGCCAACTTTTAAGTAATTTAAGATCATTTTGAAGATATTTAAAGGTTGTCTATTGAATTACACAATTATGTGGACTTAATTCACATTTTCTCTGCAGCCTCCCATTACAATGTTTGTACGTTTGCATCCATGTACAGAGAATGAAATGGGTTGTAACACTAAAATAGCATTTGGTCATGTGACAGTTTATGTGATATTATCAATCTCTTGTGACAAAACTGATCTTGTAATAATGAAAACTAGGAGAATGAATTACTAAACACAGCAGATCTATTCCATTACCTGTAAATAGTAAAGATAAGTACCGTAATAAATATTTAGCACATGATGTTATGGTCCTTTAACACATATCAATATTGCAGACAAACTAGCATACACCCACTGCACCTATCTCCTTAAATGCCTAAACCCAATTAAAAATGTCTTTAGGTTACTGCACCTTATCTCCTTAAATGCCTAAACCCAATTAAAAATGTCTTTAGGTTACTGCACCTTATCTCCTTCAATGCCTAAACCCAATTAAAAATGTCTTTAGGTTACTGCACCTTATCTCCTTAAATGCCTCAACCCAATTAAAAATGTCTTTAGGTTACTGCACCTTATCTCCTTAAATGCCTCAACCCAATTAAAAATGTCTTTGGGTTACTTGGAACAAACTATTCTACTTACCTGTAAACTCAACATTTCAAACCCACTGTTCATCGTATTGGGATTGCTGACACCCACAGGACCTCCCATTGGTCGACCAGACATTTGGCCAAAAGGAGGTGCCATCTGATTGGATCCTCCCTGTGTATTAGGTGAAACTATGCCAGGACCTGGGGGAAACTGTGACTGCCCTGGCATGCCTGGTCGTGGAGGAGCCGACATCCCTCCACCTTGTCCTAGATATCCCTGACCTTGGTTGCCTGGCTGATTCTGAATAGGTGGTTGACCATATCCAGAATTAGAAGGTGCATTCAGGTTATTCTACAAATTTGAAACCAAATTGAAATTAAAATCTGCATAAGTACACATGAACTGACTTGGTCAATTACTCTATTGGTTAACTCTGTTAAAATATCCCAGGACTTCAGATTTTGTTGTGGGGTATCACCCACAAAACTGATAATTTGCCTCAAAGCAATAGACAGGAAGACAATCCATAGATAACAGTGATTTATTTTGGAGTCCTGGGGTCAAGCAGATATTTTATTGGAATACTAGTTCTCATTAACTTGTTAAATATCTTTAAAAAGAACAATGATGTCATGTTTTAAGTCCAAGAGGAGAATCAAGGTGACACAAAAATTTGATGATTTAGAGTTGAATTTACTTTGCTAATAAATTTTGTGGGCTAAAAACATACATATGTTATAAGCTTTATATGAATTAAAAAAAAAAATCTTAACAAGTAATCTATTCAACTGGACAAGCATTTCCCCTTTAAATCCAATGTAAGACTACTCATGAAAGTTATGATTTCTGGATTAGATTTATATCTGGGTTGCTAAAGGTCATGTAAACCTTCTGATTATCTTTCTTCTGAAACGAGTCTTACCCCAGGATGGCCGATCTGTTGTGTCATTTGGTTTGTATTCCCTTGAGGAAGAGGAGGGCCAGCGAGAGCATTCACACCTCCTACTTGGGGTAACTGGGGTCCACCTGCCAAACCTCCAGAAGGAAACGTCATCTGTCCAGGTCCACCTGGCATTGGGGGTCCTGCCATTGACCGTGGTGGACCTCCAGCCATTGGGGGACGGGCTGTAGACATAGAGGGAGGGGCTCCAGGAATAGGAGGTTGGGATCCAGGCATATGGGGAGGGGCACCAAACTTAGATGGAGGGCCACCAGTCACTGGGGGAGGAACACCAGACATAGAAAGGGGTTTGGAGCTAGGGGGTGGACCATGGCCCATGGCCATTGGAGGCGGCCCACCGGACGTCATAGATGGGACTCCAGAAATATGAGTTTGAGTTCCAGACATTGTAGGTGGGCCGGATAAGGAACTCTGTGCACTAAAAGGCTTTGATGGTACCGAGCCTACACTAGATGGTGCCATCATTGATTTGAGTGGACCTCCAACACTGTTTGGTGTCTGTGCGCCACCTGAAATTACATGACCAAGAAGTTGTTAAACGTTAGCTTTACCTTCAATATTTTTCATAAACTTCGAGACTTGTCAATAAGAAACCAGTACATATATGCTATGAAGTGTACCATATTAATTTAAGCTAAGCATCAATATTTCTCTGCATTCTCCTGTCTTGTACTTCAGGAACAAGGTACTGAAAAACAGTTGCAAGTATTTTATATCATTTTCTAAATTTCAAGACATTTCTGATACCTATGTGACAGTGAAATGCTTTGGAAATTTGAGTTTCCAAATTACTGTAAGTATCATCTTACCATGAGCAAATGTTCGACCACAAACACTAGGTTTTGTGGTGTTGAATGAAATCTCAAGTCAACTGATCCCTACTTCTCTTTCAAATCAGTGGTACTTTAATTTTTAAAAGGAAATTGTACTTATTAAAGGCATGGAAAAATCATACCCATTTCTGACTCCTACTTCCCATTTTTGGAATGTAACAAATCATATTAAACATTTGTATTTGTATTATATGCATGCATATATCAAATGATTATATATCCTGTCAATTCCAATTTTCAATGATTTCAATTGGAAAACTTTGTGCATGATTGTTGACAGAGACTGAAAAACAAAGCAAAATGCACAGGAGCATGTAAACTAAGAATTAACATGCATATTTTCCTTAATTTATGTAACTAAAATACGAAGTCCATTCTACCTCATTTACTTTCAATGGTCAGGACAGATATATATGTATACATACACATATGAAACAAATGTCTTTTTTTTTGAATATCATATGAATATCTTATAAAAGTAAATAATATAATTTAGTAATTCATCCATACCCTGAAAAAGATAAAATGACACATGTTTCAATGGAATAAGCATGTTTATATTAGGCTAGGTACATGTTAGATATTGTATCAAAGCAAAGATACATTGCATGCATATAAAATCTATAGAAATAGTAGTTTTCCTGGTACATTCCGCTGTAACAATTGCAACAAAAATACAAGTACATTTATCAAAATACACAAGGATGTATGAAGCTCACTGAACATGTAAATGATGTATGTTTTGTGGTAGCTCTGTCAACACTGGAGTTTCAGGCATGCAGACAGACTTAAGCTTTAATTAAATTCCTTTTTTTTATATTACACTTAACACACAACTGACATACAAATGTACATATGCAGTCATATTTCGATAGTATGACTTTTTACTTCCATCTTTGAATTCTACCATGACGAAGTGCTTGTATTTCAAAGTTCTGATACACAATCTTGACTGGAGTTGGAATTAATATCTTTATTTAAATCTAACAAATATCAAAAATATCTTACTCTCAAGGCCACTTAACTGTCCCTCGACAGCATCATATAACTGATTCCCTAGAGGGGAGGGGGCTCTCGAAGACTTCCGAGATGTAGGCTCTGCAATAACCGAAACAAATATTTACTACTTAAGATTTTCAATTAATGCACATGTGTATGAAGCAGCTGATGGCTTCCTCAAAAACATGATATAACAAACTGTATGAATGACAAAATTGGCTGATAAACATTTGTATTTCAAATATATGTACTTGTCATGCAACATGCTGACAACTCCCAGAATTTAACTGAAAACTAATTTAGAGTTTTCACTTAAACAAACTAAAAGAAAATTAAACTAGTAAATAAATATCATAAATGCAGAAGTTAATTATGAATCACTGTCATTTTAACATTAAACCAATAATAAAACATTTTAGATTATATAGCTTTAGTGTGTGTGTTAGTATAACTACCTGAAGTGTTTTGTACTCCTGGAGTTAGTGTCATGCCAACTTGATGTGAGTATTGGCCCTGGCCATGAAATGGTACCGGCAGACCAACAGGCCGTTCTAGAATAATGGGGACAGACATCAGTCAAAACACTAATGACTATATGATCACCATTTTTCTTATATTATATTACATCATGAGTTATAGGGACCTGATCCTTATATAAAATGATCACATCGCCTTTTAATACAGAAAATTCTGGCTACATGACATTAAGGTAGACAAAAGTATTACAAGCTGTGTTTGGAAATGTCTGTTAATTTATTAGAAGTGTTGCATTTAATCGATATGTGGTTGTTTATAATACACATATACAGTGCTCAGTTCTCCCAATTGCTACCAATAAGAATAGTCAATCACAAGTTTTTCAGAAGACTTTTATAATAGATTTTATTTATGAGCCTATGAAAGTTGCAGCTGTGACAGTACATTTACATTAAGGTACATAACAATACCATATACATGTATATTTACAACTTCCACATGAGAAAGCACCATAAAATCAAGAGTATAATGTCACCATAAACCCTAGATAAATTACTGTTATACAGTATTTAATCCTCAGAAGTTGTCACAGAATTTCAGTAATTCTTTCAATGTATTACTCAACATCTAGTCCCTGGACTAAAATATTGATAAACAAAATATTTTTCAATACTGCCTTGAAAAATCAAATAAATGAAGAATAGATTAATTAAAAATAAATGTAATAAATGTGAATAAGAATTGTCACATATACTATGATCTGACAATGTTTTACTTGAAAGGATATACTGTACAAATGCTGTATATCTGTCATCACTCATCAGTTACAAATTTACAGAGAACCTGACTTAGGGATTTCACTTATCAATTTTTATTTTTCTATCTTTAATCCTTTCTTGAATGTTTATTTAGTGGCTAGTGACCATGACATTCATAATAAAATAATTGAGCATGTAATTATACACATATATTATAACCATCCCTAAATATAAGTTAGTATCTTTTTTATTTCAAGTGTCCTCAATAGCATGCTAGTAGTAACTAGGCCTATCTGCATGTCAGCTGATCATAGTATCAGTATTATGTATTTGTTTAACCTTGTTACATTCAGGTTTTACGGATTATCTACACCTAAAAATCAAGGTTATAGTCCTTTGTAATCTTCCAGCATATTCAGGTTACCATAAATGATTTTTCTAATGGTGCAAGTCTTGGAATGTCTTTGAAAGTAAGATGTTTTTTTCTTAAATTCTTGTCCCTTACAAGTTATTCAAAACATCACATTAAACTGAACATGCAGGTGCAGAAAAAACCATAACAAACTGTTAAAGTTTTTGTCACTCAACAACACATGGGAAGGAAGAGTCAGAAAATTTTACAACTTTTAATATTCATCAAACAGGTAGATTATTAAAGTATATATGTGATTTCCTTTTTCTTTTTTCAAGTTTTCACATTATATAATTAATACAATCAATGAATTATAATATTTCACTTATTATCTATAAGTCTAGGCCTTTGAGGTTTTTGTATCTTAAAAAGCAAGAATGTTTCCTCCAAAATAAAAACTTTATGTAACATTTGCAGGCTAGTTGCCATGCCAGTGAACTAATTCATTTTCAGAAATAATCACGAAGAAATGCGAAAATGTGACATCATGAAAAAAAGACCAGTTGAAACCACAAGATTAAATGTGAAATATGATATATTCATTTCTTCATGCTTCAATCATTCATCTTGCTCATTTGAAAGGATACTGGAGTTAATCTCATAGTTTATGGAGGTCTTTAAATTAACATTCTACAGGTCACAATTTTAGTAACAATAATAATACATGTGCAATTTATTTCCAAAATGATGCAAAATGTTCTTTCTGTAAATAAACATGACCAGAAATCAATTTGGCATCAAGAATAAGGATGAGCATGGCAATGATTTATTTTACCTGCAAATGAGCCTGGCAATTCTGAAGAAGGTTGATGTCCAACAGCTGAACCTTGAAATGGTGGCCTCTGATTCATATTTGATGATGTTGGTTGTCCACCCATCATGGGTCTTGGACCTTGTCCACTACTTGGGGTGGACATCATGTTAATTGGCGGCCTTATGTTGTTAAAATTGTTTGACTGAGGAGGTAAACCGCCTGGCAATGATGAAGATTGTGAAGTATTCATTGTCCCTAGTGGTGGTCCATTATTTTTAGAGCCAACCAACATTTGTGAAGATTCATTTGTCACTTGCCCTGGTTGTGAAAAGGTGTTTGGTGCACCAATTGAAGGTCCATTAGATGGCATTGTACTACTTGGAGGGCCCATCATAGATACAGGAGGGGGGAGTCTATTACCCTGTTGCAAATTTCCATTAAAATTCTGTGCAAGTGGTGGTGGGGTTCCACTAAATCCATTTACATTTGAACCAGGTCCGTTGTTTACACTTGGTGCAGAACCTCCAAAGCTTACGGGAGGAACACCCATTGCTGTCTGAGGTGGGCCACCTGGTCTTGGCATAGGAGGAGGCATCATTGCATTTGGGGGTAGTCCTGGTGCAATTCCTGTAGGTCTCATGTTAGAAGAAGGCGGACCTGATCCAGGAAGTCCTTGACCTGGCTGCATACCTTTCATTGGTCTAGGTGGAGCATGGAATCTTTGGGGTCCCATGCCAACAGACGCTGGAGGCAAAGTTCCTAGAACATAGAGAAAAATGCACTGTTAAATATTACTTATGTAACTGACTTAATATACAAAGCATGTATATTAATTGAAGACTTTTTTCCATGTTTTGATAATCATTTTATAAACCGACCAAGCAAGCTTTGTGAAAGTAAGATGACCATATACAGACCATTGCATTCTTATCAATCCAGCATACACCAATACAAACTACAGCATTAATCTCAAAAGTAGGTAGGTTATGGCTACTAACTGCAAATTTTCATCAATCTCAAACTCAGGTCTTTACTCCTATCAATTTGATCCTGTTAAAACATTATTTCATAGCTTTTTCAGGATGAGTTAAATATGAAATGATCATACAGTGCTACCCCAAAATACATGTTAAAATGTAAGATATGGACAAGTCAATAATATTGGAAATCAAGAATCTCCCTTACTGGAAAACCATCAGGACTTGGTCAGGCTCTAAATTTGGTTTTGACCAAATCAAATTGACAGAAAGCTGTAGCAGATTAATGTTACACCATTCAAAATTATTTGAAATAACTTAAATTCAATTTACATGTAGTAAATTCAAATACTTTTTTAATAATAGTATGGCTTGATTTAAAGGAAATATGTAGATTTAATTATGACAGTTTGAGAATGTCTTCAGATTAACAAAGGATAAAAAAGTAGTTTCATATAACAGGTTTATCTAGTTGATTGAAAATAATTAAAAATTAGTTGCAAAAAATACTAAAAATTAAAAATCATTGAAAAGTCAATTAATTGAAAATATCTGGGAAAGTTCATAAATTTTTGGCTTTGCATCTTGAAACTTTTGTAATTTGAACCTAATCAAAAAGAAGTCTTGATTTTTGTTTCATAATTTATGACCAAGAAGTAGTCTTGTTGATTATTTGTTTTATCAACATATTCATTGGTAGCAAGTTTAAATTTAGCTTAGGAGATAGAATACCTTAACAACCGTTAACAAATTGTTTTGCTGCAAATATACAAAATACAGACAATTCAAAATGGCAGATGGTATAACTGACGATATTACTCATGTACATCTATTTTCTACAAAAGTGTAATTCTGTAATAAACTTTGAAAACCAATTACGGTACCGTATAATAATTGATCGCCATTATTTTTTATTAATAATGAAAGTTCTGTTATAATTTTTCAAAATTCTATAAAAAATGGATTATATCATATCTGCTCTTTCGTGTTAAGATTGCAGGATAGGTTTTAAGGCCTTTACGCCTTTAATGCTCTCATTCTTGTGCCTTTCAGTTGGACCCAAAAAACAGCCCAGACTGCCCCTTTCCAATCTGGCAGTTTGCAGTCTTCCAGGAAAAAAAGTTAGTGTCAACATCTGTGATTACAATAAATCATGATGATTATGCATGCGTATCATTCTGATGTTTTATCATCATTTTATATCAGTTTCAAATCGATGAATGTCAGAACTTTGCCCTTGAAAAAGTGAGAGAAATGTGTAATTCCCATCTGGGTTGGCATTAAAATGAAACTGTGGAAAACATTGTCATTTTCACATCAATGCTGCACATGAATTAAACATCTTTTCTTTATCTGCAAGCTGATATCAATCGGTCAAATGTAATGTCATGTTCAGTATCTATACAAATTTCCATAATCTGTATCTACCCATATTTTGATATAAAACAGAACAGAAACCTGATCACCTGTGTGGTTATTTAATAAAATAAGCATGGGCACTCTGCTTTATTTCATTAACAAAAATATGTAATCTTTGGTAACTTCCCCTCTTTCTGAATCTAAAAAGAATAACACCAGTCAAAATCTTGACAAAAAGACTACACAAAAGGCACTGAAGGGGGAATACAAAGTGTTGTTTACAATGTTGTTTGAATTTCTGCAAATGTACGAGGAGCGTTAAGACTTAACATGATAATTAAAACAGACTAAGATAAGGAAACAAATGTTTATTCTGAGCATAGCTACATTATTTTGAAAATCATATTGATGAAGAGCTTACTGTTAAATTAGCAGTATGCATGTGTAAAAATGACAGTTTCTTTCCACAATTATTGTTTGAATGGTGACACCAACACTGTTAGCTCATTTCCCCTCTTGTTTCGAAAGTTGTTAAAATGTCATGCTATTTGTTGTGGATAAATATTGTAGTTCATTGAGTAAAATAAATTCTTATCAGTGTTATTTTGGTAGTATTGTATTTCAGAACAAATAAATCAAATTCAAAACACCAATACATCAATAACTTCAACAAATGTCTAATACTGACATATTCCTTGATAAAAAAATAGTCAACTTACAAATCAACAATTTAAATCCTGGGTACAGCAATTCCTTTAAGTCTGTATTGTCATATTGTGCAACTGAATATTCATACCTGTTGTTCATTAACCTTACACGAAATATAAGTCACTATCACAATAACAATACGTGTCGTAACGTTCGTGTACTTTGCAACGTGGAATTTAAATGTCGTTTCAGAATACGTCAATTTGAACGTTGTTTGAGATGTTTTTGTCAACCGTGAACAAGCTAGATACATACATCCAATCATCGTTTATTATATATTACTTTTTATATATACAAACCTTGATTATTGACCATCTGTTGTGGATTTTGTAGCCGAGATGGTCCATTTGGATTGAATTGTTGCCTATTCACATCCGCCATGTTCTCTCAATATGACTGCAGATTACGATGACTTCAGTGGTCTAGTGTGGCTCATATCACCACACCCATACCAATATATGAATAAATTGATTCAAACGTTGAAGCTAATTATCTGTTCAAGCAGCAAACGACAAATCAAGTTCCTTTGTATCATAAAACACCTCAAAAATTAATGGAAATGGAAAGTCCATTTTGTGAACTTCTAAGCGGCGGAAATAGATCTAAATACATTGACATGCGCAGACGATATCAACGTGGCAATCAAAGGTAAAGGGATGTAACTCTTGCAGATGCTGATTTGAAAATACCAATGACTCACATTAAATAAACAAACAAAGTTAAAGTTATGTACATGCACATCGACACATTATTTTCAAGTTTTGTGAAGTCTCTAAAATACATTCGAGTAGGTTTCTAATTTCCTGAAGACTGTTACTGATTTTTTGATTATGTAATTATCACTATTTTATATCAGCGACCAGAGACATATATGTATCTGCAGAGACGTATATATCACATATATATGTTTCTGTTGTTATGAATTGTTAATTTTCAAATCCAGTTCATGTTCTTATTTTTGTAACCGTGTGAAAAATCTTTTTGATTCTTTCTTTTGCTCATATTTGGCACATAGAATTAAGAGTTAAGATTCTGTTATCAATCATCGGTAATTTCTTGGCTGCTTTTTCAACTTATCAAAGCCTTTCTTACATTTACAATGCATGATGGCAATGAAATGTACACGGATTAACTTAAGTAGAGATACACGTTCACAATATGAAAAACACATTTCTAAGTCTACTGCTGGATTTGATTAAATTGCACATGTCTAAATATAAGATTGTTGTTCTCGGTCCTCGCTTGGTTATGATATTGCCGTTGCCAGATTATATGTCTTTAGTAGGATCTTCTTCATTACACCTTGGAATTCAAACAACCTTGATTAGGGGTCTTGAGATCACAGGAGGAACTTGATTTGACACGGTTCCATTTTCCAGATGTCTACGCACGTGAGACTTCTGTCTGTTGTGTCCCATTTGCAGTGTACCAAATTCAGGGCCCTTGACCCCTCAGTTACAGAGTTTTTGCCCTTTGTTAAAATTTGGCGTCTGCACCATGTGATCCTACCTCTACCACTTTTGCCTTCTGGATCGCTTCCTCCAACTTTCAGTCTGATATTGTCTTCAGCTATCTTCCTCTCCTAGCTTTCCGAGTTTACCACGAAATAAGTATGTGATTACTTGAAGATAAAAAAAAAACTTTTCGAAAAGTGGATTTAAAGAGGGAAGTTTGTCTGTAGCCCTCATTTACCGACTCCTTCTAGTATAACTAACGCCATACATGAACCAACAAAGTCCATAAAACAACAGTTTCTTTTGGTGTTGTGCTATTTAAATGTCGACTTTTCATCTTATTTCGTTATTATTGCCGTTATGCTCAAAATTCATTACTTCATAAGTCGTTTTTATATTTCTAACATTGGTATTTATCGTTTTGCAAGAAAATTAATAAAAACGTGAATTGAAAAAAAAACGAGAAAGCTGTACTACAATACAGTGACAGGAAACTAGGCCCAGTGGCGATTTTTCCGGTGTTAGTATTTGAGTTTGTTGACTGGGTCGTGAATTCCTCGTAGGTAGTTCCCTCTTTTCACTGTTATCTAATCCTATATATCAGTACTTTATTTGCTCATACGCAGTAGATAGTGTGGACTTTGCACTGACCAGAACCATTCTGTCGGCCAGTGAGAAGTGAACAGATTTTTTCGTAATAAAAACAATTCGTCATAAAAAATTAACCCAATCAGTTGTCAAGCATTCTACTCCTGTTTCTTTGGAAAATATTAACAATGTACTTTAGGTGAAAAAATGTTTATAAACACAACAAGACTAGTTAACTCAAATGTCTTATTTCTTATTCCTCTGTATGTACGGTCCACTGATTAGAATAATGAAAATTTGACTTAACAGAAATATTGTTTTAGAAACTTGCAGACACTATGACTCCTTAATCACTCGCACTTCGATAGACCATCATCCATCATCTCCCGCCGTATTTATTCACATATAAATATTTCCTAAAAATACATCTTATTGACAGCAACTCGTACACAAATCCCGTTCGCTCGCTACCCTGTACAGTGCCTCGACTTCAAGGGAAGTAACTACGATCCTACTTCCGGTAATATGGAATGACAAGACGGATTCCAACTGATTTTTTCTGCTGTTGATGAAGATACAAGTCATACAACATGGAATTCCAAGACCAATTTTACAATAACGGAGAGTATATTGAAACGGTAAATAATGCAGAGTCAAACTAAAGGAAATATCGTTGATAAGAAAAACATTAGCTGACCAAAGTTTTCTGTCCTGACTATCTGACTATAGTCTATAGGTTAGGTATTGCAGCAGATAAAACATAGCATGGTGTAAATGGTTTGATATTGATGCATGAATTGATAATATTGATATTCTAATATTTGGATGCCCTCGTTTGCAATGTCCTTATATTCATCGGGGTTGGGATTTTATCGTATGGAAATAAACATAGTTATGTTAAAAGGTAATTGTTGCAGATGACTTAAATTTAAAAATCTAGCATCTCCAGTATCCTTACTGTACCTCTCTCACATAGAAATGATATGAGAAACCATACAAAAAAATTATCAATGAATGTTATTTATTGACAGGCATCTGGGAATAAAGTCAGCAGACAGTCAGTTCTTTGTGGAAGTCAAAACATTGTTATAAATGGAAAGGTAAAGTTCAGAGTATCACAAAACTAGTCTTAATTGCACAATATTTTAAAGATGCATTATGTTTGTTATGTAACTGTTATATACATGAATGACTTTTGCAGGATATATCTTTGATTGTGCAAAATGAATCCAAATATTACTACAAATAGAACTTGAAACCTTATTTTGCTTTCTATGTAATTATACTTTATTATAATTACAACGTAATGTATTGGAACTGAAATAGTGATTGAGTTAAACACATAAGGTGTTAATTGTTTACTATATATGAGTGGTTTTTTTTATTAAGCTATTTATGTTCTTTGGACTATTTTTCAGACTATTATAATGACAGATTGTGTGATACGTGGCGACTTGGCTAATGTCAGAATTGGTCGTCATTGTGTTGTCAGTAGAAAAGCTGTTATTCGTCCCCCATTTAAGAAATTTAGTAAAGGGTAAGTATGTTAAATGGAAATGGATGAGATGTATTGCCATCTCTTAAATAATATTATTTTCATAAATCACTGTTTTGTTGATAAATGTTAATTTTTTGTTCTTCTACACCTTAGATCTATGATGACTCATGATCATCCTGTAATGACTAGTTTTAAGAACCATTTTACCTTTCAATATTTTTTTCAGTGTTGCCTTTTTCCCACTTCACATTGGAGACCATGTGTTTATTGATGAGGATTCTATAGTAAATGCTGCACAAGTGGGATCATATGTACACATCGGCAAAAATTGTGTAATAGTAAGTCAGATATACACATGTTTACGTACATGTAGATACTACTATTCTCCAGTTTTCAATATCTTCTTTCTCCATTCATTAGCATATTTTTTCAAGAAAAGTCACTCATATTACTCACTATTGATTCTGAAATACATGTAGATTGTAATCATGATTTTGTTGCTCTGTGCAAGGTTGTTTTTAATAATGTTTTGTCTTTGTTTAAAACCCTGTAAAGTTGTCTTGGGTTAGGAAGAGTTACCTGTTGTCTCTTAATTTGCTCTTAATTGTTGTTCACAACTGCTTATTTTCTATCCACCAAAAATGTTTTTTAAGGTTGCAGTGCTCCCTGAAAATTTTTAAGGGTGCAGCCTTTCATGTAAGAGCATAACTTTGCACACAGTTAAGCAAGGATCATGAAACTTGATGCATATATTGGTTGTACTTAGGGAATGTGCACTGTACCAAATTCAGGGCCATCAACTCTATAATTACAAAATTATTGCCCTTTTTTTTAATTTTTGAAAATAAAGATGTTGTAGGGGAGTTTCCATCAGTTTTGCTGATACGTTTGTTGATATCTGATAAGGTCAAGAGTACCTGGTAAGCAGATGGACTTTTTTTAAGTTATTATGGTGAAGCCTGAAAATTCATGTTTGCCACTGGTAATATGAGTTGATATGTTAAATATTCCTTTAAAAGAAATAATTATGTTTCTGATATCAAAGTCTAAATGTTTCATCAAATTGGGTAATTTTCTGTATTCCATTAATCACAGGGCAGAAGATGTGTATTGAAAGATTGCTGTGCTATTGCTGACAACACTGTGTTGCCCCCAGAGACAGTGGTACCTCCTTTCACAGTTTTCTCAGGATCACCAGGTATATATACTACTGGATCCTAGAATGCAAGTCATCTAGGTGTGGAGGATAACAAAGTAATATTGTTCCATCAGTGCAATTACATTTCTTAATCCCTCATTGGAAACTTGATGGATGGTGGGTAGACTATAGTCTTCCTTCCTTCCTCTTTCCGTGGCAGTTTATACTTGCGGTACCGATTCAGCTCGATGATACAGTGCATTGTGTATGAAAAGTAGGGTCACTTATGACCTTTCATCACAGGACTCCTTCCTAAACTATTGGGACTTTTTGGGTTAATCTTGTTTAGGCAATATGGCGGCGATGAATGTTATTCATAGAATTGCCTTGTTTATGGCACCTTAATTTATATGGTTGATAATGATTTCATGCACACATAGCTATTCAACAATTGACAGCAATCTCTTGAGCCATTACAAAGACATTGTCTAATAATTACAAATAGAGATGAAAATGAAACTTCTTCAAATGATGTATGTATATCTTATTTCACCTCTGAACAGCCTCATGTTGTCACTTTAGTCATTAAACATCTATGCATGTACTTGAATGTTTATGTGAATATTTTAGTAGAACTCGCTGTATAATTCTATTAAATTACTTTTGCTTGTCACTTTTTCACTCTTAACACAATCACATCAACACTTTTTTAGGAACTGATTTAGATCATGCTCCTGGTTTTGTCTGTTAGCTATTTCAGTCACTCTGAGAAAGATAACTTACTTACTCATTTTAGTGACACATGTACCCCAATTATTTGTATGAATACTGCTGTATATGCATATACAATAACTTCATATATATTTGTTTTGGAACCATTTTAAAAAATCTTTTTTTTTGCAGGTCAGTTTACAGGAGAACTACCAGAGTGTACACAGGACCTTATGCTGGATGTAACAATGAACTTTTACCAACACTTCAAATCTCTTGGAGGAGTGAAAGAAAAAAAGAAATAAGATAAAAATATAATATTGATGTTCGTACTGGCATGTGTTATGTATAAAACAGAGTATTTGGTGACCAAACACAGCACACAAAGGATATGTCTTCTTATTTGCAATGTTTACAAGCAAGCATTCTTTGGTAAATGTCATTTTTTAATGAAAAGTTGAATAATTTGTAGTTTAAAAGCCATTTCAATGTTACTACAGATTGAATACCTCCCAATATAAATATATCCTATCAGTGAACATTTTTCATGGATATGCAAGACAAAAAGATTTTTTTTTTTCTTTTTTTGTCCTTTTGTCAAAAGCTCAAGTCAATTTTACTTAACAAAACATGATACACTAAACAATATACTGTCTAGTTTTGCTCATGCCCAGAATGTCAGACCCACTGGGAAAATAGATTGAGTGGATTATAAAAGTTATTAATTAATTACAGACTGTACCACCAGTGAGGATTTCATTTTGATTAAAGGCTTTGTTTCATTTTTGGAATGTTCAAGGTTTTATTAACAATAGTGTTACATGGACATGTTATCTAGATGTAAACATGTCATCACATATAGATATTTAACCTACTAAAACAAGGGCCGTAATCGTGATGATTAGCCAGACATATTTTGGAGTTTATATCAGCAGACTCATCTTAACAGAATTTTGATGTTTAGTAAACAGGATCAAACTACAGACAAGGCTTTGTCAGCTCTTCTCATATGTTACAAGAACAATGGATCAATCATTAAGTACTGGAACAAATAAAGGTAATTGCAATGGAAGATTTGCCTCCCTTTAGACACGTTTCATACCAGCCTAGTTTGGTCACCAACAATGAACTAGTTGTACTTTAGTAAGGTAGATTGTAATGTGCATGTGTAGTGAAATCAGAAGTTATAATACGACTGTTTAGATAACTATAGCTAATGGTTTCACTTTGAACGCATCATAGCAACTACTTATTATCTGCACTTGCATCCTCATTTGGAAGCAATGCAGTGATTGGTTGGCCTTTATCAGAAAATGAAATCACACGAGATAGAATAGCCTGAATATAGTAAATGGTGATTGCCCATAATACGCAGATTATTGTTAAAGGGAACAACTTAATGTTTTTTTGGTTTATTTTTCCATCCTAAACTAGCTTTGGTGAGGTAGTCATTAAAATGAGCTTGGTGTAATGGTAACTTAATGCTGCTTTTTCTCTTATAAATGTGTTAGCATATACATGTATTTGTTTCATACATTTTAGTGGCAAAACATTATGAATTTGAAGTATTTTTTAAATTACGCTAATGTATTGTTGACAGTTTTAAAAGAAACCATGTAATAAAAATGCTAGATTCACATTTACATGGAATATCATAGCAAAGAGAAAATATCAATCACAATTTTATTTCAGTAGTGTTGGTACCTGTTTCAAAGTGCAATATCGAAGGCTTTACTGTTATGAAGCAACATTAAAATGTCATAGAATTATCTGTATGTGAGATGGTACATGGTTTTGATTTTAAACAAATATGTTGTATTTGTAAAATTTCAAAAAGGTTTCATCCTTTTGATTTTCTTATGAATTCTAGGTGTGTACGTTGGAAGGCAGCGGTTTGGTGATACTAGAGTGATTGTAACTTTGTTCTTCACAGCTGATCACTTATTACTGTCATAAATGCTTATTTGTAATAAATTATTCATTGTATAACATCATCATGTGTCTTTCACTTTTCTCTTCTTTTTTTTCTATTTAAAATGTTGTGTTACAAGAAGAAAACAAAGAAAGACAGACATGAGATTAAAATAGAAATCATTTTCTGCACCAGTTTGGTCGCTTCAGACTTGGTCCCGTCTGGATCTCTTTAAGCAGAGCATTTTCTTACTTTTCGGAAACATTGTATGCCTGTTGTTACAGAAATAACACAAAGATTTTTTTTCAGCAGCAAGTTTGTTCAGTAAGAATACATGTTAATCTTCTATACTGCACAGATTTGCTAATTAACCATGAATTTTTGTTTTAATGTGTATGCTATTGTATAAACTGTATACATTGTTATCCACTTGTTGGAACTTTGACCTGGTGCAATACCAGCTAATGATGCTTGAATATTACAATAGATCAGATTTTTTATTCATGTGAAGGATACAGACTTTTTATTTGGGTATTTGATCTTTAAACTTCACAATAATCAATAAAAAACATTTTGTTGCCGAGTTTTCAAATTGTTCAACGAAACCCTTTGTCAAAACTTTTCTACCAAAACAGGATAACAATGTCATTGTTTAATGTAAACCAAATAAGGGTAACAATCTTATTACATTAAGGTATACTGATTAGTGGATTGCAACAAATTTAGCTTTAAAGATTTTCAAGCAATGTTGACCAATTTTGATCATGCTAGACAGGAATATCTCTTTACAAGATATTTTCCACTTTGTTCACTACCATCCCAATCTCAAACTGAAAAAAACTTTATTCTTTGCACATGAGAGCTTTCTCTAAGAAATATGAACGGTAATGTAAATGTGAACTTCACAGGAAGCACTGAAACACCTCAAGCTAAGATGAATATCACATTAATGTAAACTTTATGTTTTTCACAACAATTGCGAAACAAGTTTTAGCAACTTATACTGATCTTGCTTGCTGTCCCAGGTGTCAGCACTTAAGGGGCCTTACTGAAGGAGAAAATGCGGGGAAAACCCATGTGATCGGGCAGGTGACCACCTACTATTTCATGTCCAATCCAGGAATCAAACACCAGACAGCTAGGTGAAAGGTGAGGGCATTAATGCTGCAACACCCGACCACCTGACCACCCTGTCAAGTATAGTGACAATATCTCTCGATAGACATACCCATGGAGAATAGCAAAATAATTTCAATTCTGCGTTTTCTTGAAATTATGTTGTTATTTGCTGGTATCATATGCCCTAAATCTGTACTCTGTCATTAAACAAATTTTGTTATGGCTCTTTCTTGAGAAGTACTCGATGGATCTTTCTCAAATTTCATATGTAGGTTACCCTTGTTCCCTAGTTGTGCCCGTTTGATTTTGGGACTGATCAGAAAAACAAAATGACTGACAGACAGCCATTCTTGGATTTTTTTGGATGCAAGATTATTATCACTATTTCTTGAAAAGGAAAGGATGCATCTTTCTCAAATTTCATGTGTAGGTTCCCCTTGGTCCCTAGTTATGCCCATATGATTTTGTTATATTTATTTTTGAGAATTTCAGTATAGATCTTTCTCAAATTTCATGTATAGGTTTTTCTTGTTCCTTAGTTATTGCTATTTGTTAAGAAGCACTCAATGAATATCTCTCAAAATTCACATGTAGGTTTCCCTTTGTCCCTGTTGTGCCCATTTAATTCTGGGACTAATCAGAAAATGCCCGACAGGCGACCATCTTGGATTTTGACATTGAAAGTTTGTTATTCCTATTTCCAGAGAACTATTACATAGATCTTTCTCAGCTTTCATGTGTAAGTTTCCCTTGATGCCATTCTAATTAATATTCGATCTTTAATTCGGCTTCTCTACGATACACTTGTATTGTAATTAGATAGTCATTGGTCCACAGCAGTGCCTTTTCTAGTTTGGTACTAATCAGAAAATCTAAATAGCTGACATGTGGCCATCTTCGATTTTGACTTTGAATGTTTGATATCACTATTTTTCGAGAACTACAAAATAGATCTTTCTCAAATTTTTATGTAGATGTTCCTCTTGGTCCCTAGGTATGCCTGCCTAATTTTGAGACTGATCAGAAAAACAAAAATGACCAACAGGCGCCCACTTTGGATTTCACCGAGAAAACTTTGTTATTGCTATTTCTTGACAAGTACTCAATGGATCTCTCTCAAATTTCTGTAGAGAATTACTGCATAGACCAGTCTCAAAGGTCAAGTGTAGAGGCTCCTTGGCACTTGGATGCCCCTTTTTGATTTTGGCTCTGATGAAAAAATAAAATGGCTGATAGGCGGCCATCTTGAACTTTGAATTTCGGAAAGTTTGTTATCACTATTTCTTAAGAACTTCAGTATAGATCTTTCTCAGATTTTATGTATAGGTTTCCCTTGATCCCTAGTTGTGCCTGTTTGATTTTGGTACTGATCAGGAAAAGAAAATGACCAACAGGCGGCCATGTTGGATTTTGAATTTGAAAGTTTGTAATCGCTATTTCCTGAGAACTACAGAATATATCTCTCTCCCTCAACGAGCGTCTCGTCTTTCCTGATGTAGTGCAAACCACTTTGAGACCAGACATTGTGATATGGTCACAACAGCGCCAGAAGGTCATCTTGGTGGAGCTGACGGTTCCATGGGAAGAAGGGTGTGATGAGGCACATGAGAAGAAAGCTGGCAAATACCAAGAGCTTGCAGAGCTGTGCAGACATAAGGGATGGAACACATGGCTGTTTCCAGTAGAGGTCGGTGCCAGAGGATTCCCTGCACAGTCAGTATGGAAGATGTTCCAGAAATTGGGACTGACAGGAGCAAAGAGGAAAGCAGCTATTAAGACCTTGGCTGAAAGGGCTGAGAGAGCATCATGCTGGCTATGGTGTAGACGAGATGAGCCAAACTGGAGCCCAGACAACAGCAAGCAGTGATTGATCACCACTGCTGACCCGCCAACCAGAGGACGTCGTGGAATAGGGGTCGAAACGGCCGATGATAGTTGGAATCCACCTGACGATGCTGACAACAGAAGGCTCCAGAGCTCCATGTCATCAGTGCCTAACCGAAGCAGCGGTTAGGTTATCATTAGCAGAGAAATCTGTAAGTTCACATCTTCAATTTGATCCCACTGGGATCTCTTGTGTTTGTAACTTGGCCTATTTGTCACGTCATAAGAAAGACGAACATACATACTGCCTATCAGTGCTTCTACGCTCACTGGATACTGCCAGAGGAACAAAATGTAGTCTGTAACCAAGAATTTATTGTTCTCTATTTTCATTTCTTACAAATGAATGTATGCGTGACTGTATGATTTGAACCTACATTGGGACATGCTTTTTGGGGTTTTAGCGAAACGGTTCTCTTGTTGTTTGGCTCACGGGTATTTATCGGATACTTTGCCCTTTATTCGGACACTTTATATACAGGTCTTGGAATAAATTGACGCTTAAGTCTGAAATTAGTAGCAGCTCGAAATCGATATCCGTCTAAATTTAGTATCAGCTCGAAATCGATATTAGTCTTAAATTAGTATTGGTATCTATACAGACATCATTGAAGCTGATGATGTTAAATATTTTCTGTTGATTACGTCCACTTGTATGCATTTGTGTTTTGAATAAGACACTAGGTTATGCTTAATGCTAGTTGTTTAGAAGAGAAATAACACTAGGCTTTCTGCCAGATTCAAGTATTAAAACGTGAACAATAAACCGAGGAGAACAAAAACTTAGCGGGGAAGAGTAAAATGTCCATGTCAATGTGATGAGGCGAAATATACCCTCTTAAGTTTAGTAAATTGTTAAAAGTTCTTACGATAAATGTTAATTTCTGCCAAAAGGACAGATTATTTAAATGAAGAAAATATAACTATGACGATGACAGGAAGATGTTAATACTTGAAAACAAGCGCTATCAACCTTCTACCAGTGTTAATCTGTGAGATAAAGCTGTTGGACTTAGATTGGCATCTAAAGCTTAAAAACAGTCACGGTATGAAAATTACCATTCATTGTTTCCGTTTTGTAATATATATATATATATACTGCATAGTTTGATATTGAAAATTTCCAATTTCCCAATATGATCGACTACACATATGTATTCCGATTTAGTATTGTTAATGTCGTCACATGAATATCTTTTGAAATAAAGATAGCTAGGTCCACGATAGTTTATTTGTAAGAAAATGAATCTACATATAGTGACTATATCGATTTGGTACTATTGTTGGTGATACTTGAACACATTTGAGAATTATCGTTATATATTATTCTTGTCGAATTATACACTGTGAAATTCTGAAACGATTTTAAATATACAGGAAAGAAATAAAAAAGAATATATATATAAAGTTTTATAAGCCCTATCAGTTATTTGAGATGTGCACACTATACAAGTTCCTGAAAACTTTCTGGTCCTCTGCAGAGTGCATACTTCAATACGTTAGGCCCCGGCCGTGTTCACAAGAGTATACGGTGTTTCTGATCTACATGCAAAAATTAACCATTCTTTAAGAGTGGTTTGCTAATAAACTGGGAATTAATAGATCTAAAGAAAGCGTTATCGGATATATAACTAGTATTCTGTTTGTGGAAGGAAGTACATATCTGACAAATAAAATCATTAATGTGATTAGAGGTATTGATTAGCACCGTGCACTTGTGGAGTACAAAAGACAGTTGAAGTCAGTGGCAGGTTAAAGTAGATGCATCAATTATACATAATTGGCTGATGATTAGTAACGTTTCAACATTGTCGACTAAAACAGTTTAATTAAGTAGACAGTAATTATGTCTATCGACTGCCTTCCAATTTTCTTGTGTATAAAGTGCAGCTCTAATCAACCGCAGTAAACCTGACGCAAATACTGGCAGCTTTAAATCCTATCTCTCAGCTTCATCTTTGTAAATGTATCGTAATTTGTGACGTGGAAACTTGTTACACTGACGAATTGTAGATAAAACCGTATTTAAGGGTCCTAAGTACCATGAAACCCCGTCAATTAATTGGGATACGAATT